AAGAACCACTCCTGTTTCTTTGCCTTGCAAACCGGGGGCACAAGGCTACACTGAGTCCCCAGCAACCTCTCTGCCATCAGGAAAGAGGCAAGTCACCACTGGTTCTGTGTATTTGTTAGAAATGGATCCATTGTTTGTCCATTGTGCCCCAAGACTGTTTTGGCCACACATCAAACTCTACTATGGGTCTTTGCCAAGCCTTTGAGATGAAGGCAATAGCTTCCTCCACATCTTTCAATTATCAGGAATCACTAGGCCCTAAGTCTTTCTCTAAAAACTTCCCCAGACCTTTTTCGAAGCCTCTCTTGTATGTGCCAGGATGTGTGTTGGCTCATGGTACAGATCAGATCCAGGCTCTTCTAAGTACTGCTTAGTGTATTTTAACCCTCCACTCGTGAATGTGCCATCTTTTTTTTTTTTTTTTTTTGAGACAGGGTTTCTCTGTGTAGCCCTGACTGTCCAGGACCTCCCTCTGTAGACCAGGCTGGCCTCAAACTCACAGGTTCACCTGCCTCTGCCTCTCAAATGCTGGGATTAAAGGCACAGGCCATCCTCACCCAGTGAATGTGTGATTTACTAATTCAGATTGTTGACCAGAACATGGAGCAGAAGAATGGTTTTATCATCCATCACCCAGATTTTGTTTTTATGAACTACATAGGCTGGCATACCCACATACACTTAGCAAATGGCAGTCCTGAATGATGCAAACCCAGTGGCCCTCTGTTTATCATACATTGATTTCATAACTGTTATATTTGCTCTTTTTTTTTAATGCCTTCAGAGCTTAGAGCCATGAACACTATTCTCGTGTGTATGTGATTATCTGCTTATTGTGCTCAGCAGTGATTTGGAAAATAGCCTGTTTTTCTACTGTTTTTCCCTCTGTGTTTTCAAAGGCAGCCATATACCTGTTGACCTTCACTTTCATCATCCACAATGGAGCTGACAGTCTTTGTAGCTCCAAGTAGGATTTACATGTGGTACTGTATGGCAACTGTATGCTACCATCTATACCACAGCTTTGGAAAGTGTCGGACTGTTTGAGCATGCTGGGGTGCTTAAATGGGTATCCCATCTCATAAATGAGTTCTTCCTATTCTAAGCTCATCAAAGATGCTTAATGCTGTATTCAGAATTGCATACTTACTGATATACATTCTGTCCTCACCCTGCTAATTTTACCCTCTTACTCTCTTTTCCTACTAGCAGTTTTCTATACTATTTGTTATCCTTGTCTCCTTTTGGTTATCTTGCCTCCAATCATAGCTATCTAAAGGTTACTTCTGGGCAGTTTATTCTCAGCTTAAAGCCCGTTAGTGACTCCCCATTGGCTATAGGATAAGACCCAAACACAACAGCACAAATGATCTAGCTTTGCTTAACTTTCTAGCTTCTCTACGGCCACCAGGGACCATTCAGCACACTGGTTAACACCCCGAGTTTCAAGTAAGTGCACTGGCCATGCACCCCTCTGTGTCTGTGACTTTGCTCATGGCACCTTGTTAGGAGTGAGTATAGTATCTGGTAGTCATAGTCTCATTTCCCCCTTTCCTTTCTTACCTATCTATTAAAAAAATCTTTCTCCTCCTCTGAGGCCCGAATCAACCATTACCCTTTTCTCTTCATAGGAGCTCTTTCTGTGTTCTTCCTCCTTCCAACATCATTAGCTGTTTCTCCTCTGGTCCCCTCACCCAGCACTTGGTTACCGATACTGTCATCGTTTCTTCCTATTTCTACTGCCAGAGGGAAAATTCCCTGAGAGAAGTCTTGCCCCTTATCCCTGCCAAAGCTGCCAGACTTTGCATCAGCCTTAGACCCGGTAAGATCCAGTTGATTGATCTGAATTGCTTTTGTCAGACTTCAGGGCCACAAAGCCAAGCCACAAGGCAGGGACCAGTCTGCATTTGTGTTCATTTATTATTCATACCCCTCTGCTTCCAAAATTGAAAGAGGCGGCCTCATTCAACAAACTGCTGCCCTAAGCACAGAAGGTGTAAGACCCTACACGGCAGAAACAAAGTGCCAGAATGCAAGCCTTCTTCTAGGCTGAACTGATCTTGTTGAGGAGAGCTGGCACTGGGGACCTCAAGCTTAGATGCTGTGCCTCTCACACACTGCCTCCACTTTGTTAGGAAATACCCAAAGTACAACAGAAAGGACTTAAAATTTCTAGCAAATATCCTATTCTTACTGTATTTAGACCAGTGGCAAGGAAGGCATCATGGGATTGCTGTGTAGAAGTGTTTCAGTAGAAATGATCTCGTTCCTGGGGCTAAATTTGAAAAGCTTATACCCTTCTTCAAAGTCACTTATATAGCACAATTGTAACAATGTGTAATGTTTAGCCATGGCCTTTATAAAATTCTGTATATGGCTTTCTAGAGCAGCTTTTTGATAGAGACACTGGGGTTAACATAAAAGGAGAAGCAGTAATGCCATTCAAGTGGGAAACCCACCATGAGGTCTGAGCTGAGTGTGAACAAACCCTGTAGCACATCCTCATCCTCTGCTCCCACCTCTTAAAAAAACACATCTCACCAACATTCTTGTGCAGACCTGCCCTGTCTATAGAGGGGCTCCTCCTCCCTCTCTTCCTCCCTCCCCCCTCTCTCTCATGTACGGACATAGAGTCTCCAATAGCTTCTCATATCTCATGTGTATGTACTTACTCAAGCAGTGGCATACATTTCCCCTTTCTCTTAAATACCACTCGCCCGCCCACTCACTCACACTCATGCACATGTAGGCACGCACCCTCACACATGCAGTAGCATACAGCTTCTGGGTCCTCCCACATCTCATGTACAAACATATTTTTAGGCACACAGATTCATGCATGCACTGGCACAGTCTTCTGAATTCCATGTGCACACACAGCCCTACAGAAAAAGAAGACATAGAAACTGTCTTATTTCTGCATCTCACTCCACCTCCAGCTTTTTCTCCCTTAGGACAAAGCCTGGAGTGTCTGCTTAAGAGATTCAATTACTCCAGGCCCCTGAGACCTTCCAACTTAATTCTTATTGCATTAAAAGGTGTCAGATAATTTGGGAAGAAAAGGGGAAAACGCAGCCTCAAAGTCTTGACAGGAAAGTCTTCCAGATGCTTGTCATCCTGAAGAGGGAGATGGCAAACAATTATAACTCTGGCAGAGGTGGCATGGACAATGGGGAGTTCAGAGGTCAAAGCCTCTCACACATGTTTTAGGCAGGGTTTTAGCTCAAAGGACAGAGGCCTCTGAGGGATTAGCTTGTGCTGAGAGCTGTCAGGGAAGGAGGGACCTACTAGCCCCTTAACTGCTGCCCTTCCTGGGAGGCGGATGTGTGGAGATCAGGAGAAGCATCCCTGAAGGCAAGGTGGCAGCTTTGCACTGCATCCTCCTCTCAGGCAATTTTTCCCTTTTCCTAGAGGTCTGTGATGACAGTAATAGCCCTTAAGAAGTTGATAGATAATCAAGGTTAACTGTTTAGGAAGAGAAGGTTCTGCCCTAACAGAGAAGCATTCGGCAGTACACGTGTGCACTGCATATACTTTGGGAGGTGGAGAATGTGGGCTGAGAGCAGGTATGGGAATGTTGGCTTCACCAAAGACTGCCTGTGTGACCTTGTTCATGAAGGTCTTCTCTGTGCTTCAGTTCCTTTGCTGAAAAATAAAATAAAAACATCAATACACTTCCGAGGGCAGTGGTAAGGATTAAAGGAGCTATACAGATCCCCCCTAACAAAGCCCCAATTCCTGATAGCTCACCAGGCAGTGCATTCATCATCACTCTTGTGTTTGTAGTTTATGGGACAGACAGGGCAGACAGAGAAGCTAAAAGAAGTTCCAGGTGTGGATCCTGGCTTGGCCCCAGAGTAGCAAGATGGGACTCACTCTAAGCATGAGGGTCACTCTCACAGCCTTCCCAGTCCTGCCAGAACATCTTCCCCTGGACACTCTTCTGGCTATCTGGTGATGCTGAACGCAAGGTACACTTGAGGACACCCAAGTGCTGTATAGGGTCTGGGCTAATCAGTAGTCCCTTCCCTGACCCCTGCCACAGGCTTCAGGCTGGCCGCTCAGCCTGCTGCATCACTAGGCACCTGGCCTCTCGCTGCTTCTAACTAGCCCTGCTATGGATCTTCCACCCTTCTGTTCCCTGCCCTTTATTAAACGTGGGTCCTGGTTTAATAGGACCTCATCAACATTCAAGACTAAGAGGATCTTTCTTGATTTTGCTGCCCTCTAAAATGGCTTTAAAAGACGAGAGATCCTGGTTCAATTCCAGCTCCACCACTTCTTTGCTCCTTGCCCTTGGGTTCCTTAGGATTTCTCAGACTTCATTCTCTGGGAAATGGGGATAAAATATTTGCTTCTCAAAGCTATTGTGCTCACTCATGCTCCAACTTTCTAAGGACCTTGAGTGCAACAGTTAACAGAACCCTTGGTTGTGGAAGCATATATGGGAAGTGTCAGGTCCAAACGAAGGACCCAGGCAGAGGAAACATTTTTACTTAACTAAAGATCAGAAGGTTCTGGAGACAGGAGCGTGAAATGGGAGGTTGAGAAGGAAGCAAGGCCTCAGTTCTCAGGCCAGAGGCTCTCCTGACACCTCTAATTTGACTCCCCTTGTCTCTGTCCCGGGTAAATCTGATATAGCCAAGGGTTGAGGGATAGCCGAGGTCCTAGAGGGAGAAACTGGCGCTAGGTGACAGCGTCCTTCCCGGCTGAGGGTGGGCCCACACGGTCAGCCTGCACGGGGCCGGGGTGGGCTCTGCGACGGGGCGGGGCCAGGGGCGGGGCGGGGCGGTGGCTCCAGGCGTTGCTCAGCCCGGAGCTGCAGACCCAGCGCCTGCGGTGCGGACTGCCTCTCCCGCCTCCGGCGCGCTCCTGCCCGCGCGCTCCCGCGGACCCGCGCACTCCCGCCGCTTCTCCCTCCGCGCCGCGCAGGCAAACCGCTCTGGGAGCCTGCGGCCGGGGCCCTGGCGTGTAGAGAGGGCCTCGGCGGGCCCCAGCGGCCGGGCGCGGGAGGATGCGGCCCGGGGCGGCCCGAGAGCTGAGCAGGGTCCCCACGCCAGCCCCTCGAGGTCCCGGCCTCCGGAGCCGCAGCCGCCGCCCCGCCCCCGGGAGACATGACTTCCAAGCCGCATTCCGACTGGATTCCCTACAGGTACGCGGGCCGGCTTCCCCGGATCCGGGGCGCGTGCGGACCCCGACTTCAACCTTGAGGGAGGGGGAAGGGCGGGAGCGTGCTGTCAGGCCACCTACTGCTCCCAGATGCAGCGTCGGTCAGGCATCTGGCCTGGAGGCAGGGCACGGATGCCCTCCGTACCCTTTCCAACACCGGAGCACGGGCTGGAGGTGCCGGGCTTTTCCATCCCAACTTTGAGGGCCTCAGAGCCATCTGCCCTACTCCACCCTCCTCAACATCCCAGGATTCTGAAGGGATCTCGGGGCTTCTTGAGTCGGGTGGCACATGGAGAAAGGAACTGCTGTGAGCCTCCTCCTAGGCCCAGCACCCAAGACGTGCGTCTGGATATCTTGTGCGCACACACCTCTGCATCTTCACGCTTGCACACACAGAGCATCTGCGCGCTGGGCCAAATATGCCCCTGCTGTTCAGTTCGTATCCCTAAAGCATGGATTCGTTGGGACAGTTAGAACCCAGACCACATGGCAGCTTATGTATACATGTACCCGTATATCTCCGTAGACCTTAATTCTTGGGCTGCACGTGTGCATACATACAAATCTCTGCATACTCACAGATTTTTGAATAGGAATACACTGTATTAGCCACTCATAAGTACTATTCAGTACCTTTCAGAGATTCAGTAGTAACCTGCTTGTTGATGGAAGTTGCTCACAATACAGAGAAATTGCTCTCACGCCTTCACCTGCACTCAAGAACACTGACCCACCTCCTGTCCCTGGTTACTTGGTTGGTCTGACCTAAGACAGACCCGGGTTTTCTTGTGTGGGAGGTGGGGGAGGGGTGGTCTCCAGCCTCACACAGGTGCAGGCCTTTCTCCATCCACTGTACTCAATTCTATTACCAGGGAAAAGAGCTCATTGCCATAGCAGCGCCACATCCGTGGCCACTCATTGGCTCTCTAGTTGCCATGGGCTACCAGGCTGTCTCTAAGCCTCCCAAAGAGGCATATGTGTAAAAAGGGTGCTGGACTGCTAAGACCCACTCTATTGCTGACCCTGGTGCACATTCAGTGGGTTGCAGAATCAGACATCCAGGACCCACAGAAAGTGATTCTGCCAGAGCCCTTCCAGGGAGTCTGTCCAGATAGAACCCCAAATAGAAACCAGCTGGAACAGCCTGAAGCTTGTTAAAAGCAGGCAGTTCTACCAACAGGCACCTAGGAATTCTAGGCCTGGGAATTCAGGGTTTTTCTTGAGAATGATTCCTGCCTCAGCTCAGCTTCTGTGGGGGCTTCTTGAGTTATTTTCTATCTTCCCACCAACACATACACAGACACATGTACACAGAGATCAGACACAGGGTCTCCTGCAGACATGTGAGTGCAGACCTCAATATCACATGGATAAAGGAGGAAACTCTGAGTGGGAGCCCCGGCCTGGTTTGTGCTAACTCAAAAGACTAATCTGTCCTTGACATATATCCAGGCTAGGGGTGCAGGTAGTGTTGGGACGATCTTGGTATTTTCTTGGCTCTAGGGTGCAGCCCCATAGAGAATCACTGACCGTTTGTCTGCCAGCAGACGTGGAAGGCAGTGGGCTGAACAGACAATTCTGTGGAAGTACCTTCAAGGTGCCCGGTTGTAGGGTGGTGGCTACCCACGGGCTACACTGTGACCCTGGCAATAATGGCATGCTTAGGTTTTGACAAATGGAAGGCTAGGCTGGTTATAGTTCAAGGCTGATTCTCCCAGGGACCCAAGGACTAAGGCATCTTGCAAAGCTTATAGAGAAAAAAGAAAAAATCTACCCCAAGCTAAGGAGGGTTCAGCCTGCTCCTGGTAAAAGAGACCTCCAGGAAGTAGGATCATTTCTGAGAAATCTGTTGTAGATACTCAGGGTATTGGTATCCTGAAATGGGTGATTGGCATTCATCCCAGCCCAAGCCTAACCACCCCCCATTATCCCTCCCACACTCAGCCAGGAGCACAGAATCCTGCCACCCTGGAAGCCTAGCCCTGAAAGCAGCTTGGCACCCTGGCGGCCCACCCTGCTTCCTTTTTCCATTCCTGCCTTCTCGTTCTGTACAGTAGGGAGGATAAGCATTTAGCGGGGGATGGGCTGTTATCAGAAGGCTCCTCCTCTGCCCTGTTCAGTCTCTCTACGCATGTATATAGAGCCTGGAAAAGCACTGGACTTGAGGATGGGACTTCCCAGCAGGGGATGCCTGTATTGAGGAAATTCAAGTAGCCCTTTGCCTTACTAGGCTGCTGATTGCAGCCAAAGACACAGGTCTGTCTGGTTGCAGAAAACTGGGACAGAACATAGGGCCTATTTCTCGGCAGCTGGGCAGGCCGGCGTGTGTACGCACACTTTGAGATGGTTGCATCCTGCATTCCCTGGGCTCAGCTTATTTTCTTCAAAGCAGTGATAGTTGCTGCTAATCTTCTTAGGGGTAATTTTGGCTCATTTTCTAATGATCATGGATTAAGCTCACATTCTGACTTGAAAGGGAGTCATTTCATTTATAAAGATCAACAGCTAGAGTCATTTTTGCCTTTTGTTTCCCATTGCTAGTAGTTTCCAATTCTGCCCATTTCTCTTTACCTGTATTCGTTTATAACTTTTTATTTTTTTCCAAGACAGGGTTTCTCTGTGTACCCTCAGCTGTCCTGGACTCACTCTGTAGGCCAGGCTGACCTTGAACTCACAGAGATCTGCCTGCCTCTGCCTCTCAGAGTGCTGGGATCACAGACATGTGACACCGCGCCAGGCTTCTGTATTTGTGAAGAGTATCAGATGCCTGTAATGTATGATTCAACTTTTAATAAGTAGTAGATGGGTAGCGCTCCCAGGAAGGACTGTGGCCTCAGGCGTGTTTTAGGACTGTGCCACTGGTGTTTGCTCTTGTCTTCTGTGCTTTTTTTTTTTTAAGTTGTTTATTATTTTTATATGTATATATGTGTGTTTGTTTGTATGCCTATTTGAGTTTATGTGCACCAAATACATTCAGGAGCCCATGGAAGCCAGTAGAGGGCATAATGTCCCCTGGAACTGGAGGTACAGGCAGTTGTAAATTGCTACGTGGGTGCTGGGAACTGAACTCAGGGCTTCTGCAAGAGCTGTAAGCACTTTTGCTGCTGAGCCATTCCTTTAAGCCCATGTTTGGTGTTCTTGTCTGCAGTGCTCAAGGTTTCCTTCACCAAATCATGAACTCTTTGAGAGCAGGGGTGACCTCATGTGATATCTGGCTGAGACTCCAGCACTACCCAACATCAATAAAATGTTACCTCTCATAATCAAAATGATGTCCATCTTCAACTTTTAGGGCTTCCTGGTTCCATTCCTAAGTTTTCAGCACACCTGAAGTGTTCTCCCATCACAGTGAGACCTCCAGAACCAGCCATAGGAACCTTAGGCTGAAAGGGCCCACACAGGCCTTCTCACAGTTTCTGTGTTTTACTGTGTAGCATTCCTGCCAAACATCTTCCATCAGCCAGTTGTGAGTGGAAAGCTCTTCCTTGGGTTGAGTCCAAGCTGGACTTTGGTTTCCCAGTCCTTTTGGCTCCTGTTAGACACCCACCCACACCTTCGGTTCTACGTACGCTTATCCTCAGGTGCACTGTTTTGACAACCTCAATCAATTCTTTCTGGAAACCAGTTTTTTAATTCTTTGCATCTCATCACCTTTGTGGTCACAAAGGGTCATTTGCACAGCCAATCATGAGAACCCTGTAGTACTTGATTAAAACAACAAAGTTGATTCTGGAGCCTGTTCCCCAGTAGTTCTGAATTGCCAAACCAATGCCAATACCACCAGCAGCTTTAATTCACCTAGTGTGTTTGGGGACCTCTGGCTGGAAAGAAGATGGCACGTCTTCAGAGGTGAGAGCTCCTTGCCATGAAGGAACTGCCCCCATTTCCAGCTGTGCTATGCAGCTGCTAGGCAGTGGGAGCCATGGGCATGGGCTTCCGCATTCTGGTGTCTGGTTCCTAGGTTCAAAGCAACTCCCACTGTGACTGAGGGAAGGAATGAGGTAGATAGAAAGGGTTTGCAGGCTATAGAGTGGGGTTGAATGGGACATCTAGATGACTAAGGCTATCTCTATGTGCCTCTGGTAGTGTGGTAGATTAGCTAGAGTTTTTACAAAGTAGAATGTTGGAAGAGAAGGATAGAAACAGGTTTCCTAAGAATACTGGCCATACTGGGCTTTTTCAGCCCACAGTAGAAGTCTCTAGACAGCTGTCTGATCCCTCCTGGTTTGTAAATGGCTATAGATAGCCTGGCTCTGTGGGTGTTGAAGTTGCTGCCTTTTTGGCCCTGGTTAGAGCAGCCAAAATAGGGGATACTGCAGAATGGAGCCAATGACTCAAACATTCCTTGGCCTTCTAGGTCTGGCTCCTAGTAGGAGGTGACCATAATGAAGGAGCCGCTGGGTCAGCTGGAAGACCTATCCATCAGTGCCCTGTCTCAGTCTGAGCCTCCTGGCAGGGCTGCAGCTGGCAGCCTGGGCTTGGCAGTGATTCCATAATTGGAACCACAGTCATTAAAAAAGTCATTAATGTCTCCTTGCATGGTTATCATTTAGTGTAGCCTAGAATGGTGCCCATGTGAGGGGCAGGCCTGGGAGGTTTTGTGAGAAAGACAAGCACCCCAGGAATGGTGCCCCAGCGGAGCCAAAGCTCCTGGCTAGCTGGGTGGGGGCGGGGAGGGAGCTTTGGTTCTGCTCCCCCTTGAGACAGCCTTCATTGTTATCACTGTTCCTCAGCACAAGCTGCTGTGCTGGGGATTCTTTTGTGATTCACCAGGGCGCTTGTCTGTGCCCAGATGCATTGTCCTTATTAGAATACCCTCTTCCAGTACAAGCTTGTCAGTGCCCCTGTGATCTTTCTCACTCTCCCTGCAGCTTCCTAGAAACCCAGCTTTCTCTGTGTGTTATGTGGATGGGTGGCTCCTCAGAGGACCTCCTACATGCATCTTGCTGGGCCTATTGGTGGTCATTTCTCACAACTACTCCCCTACTATGCACCATTCATTTTGAACACACCTGTCGATGAGTGAGGTGGTGGGTGGTTCTCTGGGCACTTCTGCTATATCGGTGACTTCTAGAATCTCTCAGACACCGTTCCCTTGTGTTCATCCTTCTCTGAGAGCCACAGTTAAGTTCCTTCTACTGTTAATCCCACAGATATGAGGAGAAAGAATACCAACCAAAACTGTGGCCAAAGTAAAATAAGCTTTATTCGTGTACACAGGATGTCTCTCCCTAAGGCAGGGTTCAGGAGGTCAGCATTGAAAGGTTTGGTTTTTATAGCTCAGTAGTACGGGGTTTCCAAATGCTTATTTGGCAGGCAAATAAGCGGTGATCACAGAAGCAGAACATAAGTATAACAAGGTAGTCATAACAACCTTCTGAAACAAAGGCATGGTTGCCTTTTCCTGGAACAGGCATTTCAGAACCGTTTGCAGTTAAGGCTACAGGTAGCCCAATTCTTGAGAAACAGATTTCATCATAAACAAGAATGAGCCTACTTTGTCTTTATTATAAAACGGCTTACAAGCCCAAGATGGCGGCAGGCTGGTTTATCACTACTTGTACCTTATCTGGTAATTAATGGTACTAAAACCTACGGCTCATTATCCAATCAGGCAGTGTGGAAATACTGGGAGAGGAAGTACTGTACTTCTGGAAAATAGTCTCTGATCCCAGACTCAACTGCGTGGAGAGTCCAGGAATGCATGCAGTTCCCGTGATTGGAAAACACCCCCCTGTGTGCCACAGGGCAGTGAGGTCACCATTTCCAGAAACATCTTTTGTTACCAAGCTGCCTCTGGAGCCTCTCTTTCTGCAGATGGCTTTGCTGATGTGTGCCTTATCTTTCCTAGCTGTCACTAGAAATTTTCATTGACACCAAGGAACGTATATTCTTTCTCATGTTTAGCCAAGACCAGTACCTGGGATGACACCAGGTCTTCATCCCCAGCACTGTCCTGGGAAAGAATGTAACCCATGACATCTTACTAAGAGGTAAATATCCTCTCCCACTGGCACAGTGGAAGCCAATTCTGACCTGTGGAGATCACACAGGGACTTCTGAGGCCAGGCTACTAGCACACAGGTGCAAGGACCAGAGCTTGGTCTGGGCCCAATCCGAGCATGTCTGGATTCAGACCTTTCAGCTCCTGCCAGTAGGTATCACTGGACAGAGCCTTTACTGATGCTTTTGCCCATATTCTAGAAGCAGTGAGGGAGCATGTGCTTCCGTGGATCTTGGTGGCCAGTGAGACTTGGATATCACTTTCAGGGAATATTCTTCCCTGTGTTACTGATGTAAATGGTCGAATGGTGGGAGGCCGTGGCTTCTCAGGCCTTTTGAGGCCCTTGGTGTCTTGATTTCCTGACACCTGTGTTCTCTCTAGGGACCCAAGAGACATCTCTAGAGGTGCCACACAGGGTTAGTGTGCCTTTCATGACAAGATGTTTATCAGTTCAGGCAGACCAAAGTTTTAGGCAGCCTGCTGAGGCCTTGGATGCTGGTAATGTGTCCAGGAGCCCCAGCTGCAGCCGTGCTCTTGGGCAGGCGTGCTGTCTTGGGAAGGCTGAGACTTAGAGGCTCTGCCTTGTGCTGTGTTTTCTCCTGTCTTCCGGCAGCCAAAGGCTTGATAAGAGGCCATTTTTGCACACAGCCCTACATCACAGTTGGAACTCCTCACAGGTCAATCCAGGGGAACGAGGAGAAGCCCTTCCCAGCTGTCGTGTAGTTGGGACATTTAAAATGGTGCATAGTAGTCCTCGGTGTTCAGGGAGGTGAGTGGTGATGGGTGGCTGGCTGTACAAGTAGTTTAAGGGACTTATGGGTTCAGCTGTCAGAAGTTAAGCATGGCTTCACTTCATCTTTGAAGTGACTTTGAGCTTGTCTTTTGCTGTCCACACACATAACATATTCAGCTTTACACAAGCATGCCTTTTTCTTTCTTTTAAAATATTGATTTTTATTTATTATTTATACAGCATTCTGCCTATATGCATGCCTGCAGGCCAGAAGCGGGCACCAGATCACATCATAGATGGTTATGAGCCACCATGTGGTTGCTGGGAATTGAACTCAGCACCATTGGGAGAACAGCCAATGCTCTTAACCTCTGAGCCACCTCTCTAGCCTGCAAGCCTATTTCTTAACACAGGTGTCTGCACACACCTGTTCACATACATGGGCCAGTCAGACTCTTCCTTACAGCCCCCCTCAAGCCTGATGCACTCAGGCCTGCTCAAGCATGTCCCCACCCACAGGTCTGGTTCATAGGCTCCAGCATAACTATGAGAGGCAGCCTGGGACTTCTGGGCCTCAGGTTCCACCTCCACCCCTGGCAACATCCTTAGTTGGCCTTTCATAGAATTTGAGCTTGAGGTTTCTTGATCTAGCAAGAAAGCTAAGTGATTTAAATTACCAGTTCCCTGTTCATTTTTTGCCTTTGTAGGAGGCAGGGACAGCCTTCATGAGGAGAGGCTGCCTGACTTAGGACTGGTGGGACTCAATGATCTAATGCTCTCGGTATATGTGCTGTGTCAGTGGCCAGGGAAGGGCTAATAACCATTGGCTGGGCTGTGCATGTGTCTACACTGCAGTTTTTCTCACCTAGCCCTGGCTTTGTCCTGGTTGGTATTTTAGCCTCTCCCAAATTAGGATGCTCTACCATCTTTAGGGGAGCAGGAGCTATGTCAAGACATCTCCTGTTCCTGCTCAGGAGCCAGGAATTTGGGATAGGGAGGTAGTCTGTCCCAGGGGACCCAGCTTTTTCCAAAGAGGGAGGAAAGAAAGGAAGAATCAGACGAGATGATGGTAGGGAACTGGCCAAAGCAAGTCCTGGCATGAAGGCCAGCCTTCTTGGGATTGGCTAGTGGTGACTGATGCTCCTGCCTAGGTGCCTCTGGTTGTCTGTCAGGCCTGGCCCTGCTCAGGGATCTGAAGGGGTTTCATCCTCTTCTTACTAGGGCCAGACTAGCTCAGAAATCCTCAAGGTAATGGAGGAGAATAAGCTACCAACATGGCAGAAATATGGCTTGGCCCTTTGTTTTCTGCTTGTTGTTATTGTTGTTATTTTGGGTTTTTGTTTGTTTTAAGACAGGGCCTCATGTAGTCCAGGCTGACCTTGAACTCAAGTCATCCTGTCTCAATCTCCTTAGCACTGGGTTTACAGGAGTGATTCACCACACCTAAAAAGTCTTGAAGGCTTTATTTAATTTGTTCTAGGGATCAGACCCAAGGCCTTATGCACACTAGGCAAGTGCTCTCTACCACTGAATGATGCTCCTCCCTTCTTATCTTGAATAGGTCCCAGATGGCAGCCTCCATTGTCTCCCTCCACCTCTGGGCACTATGATAGGAGTTTAAAAGATGGGGCTGGGTTCAGAACCACATCCTGGAGCTTCACTGGGCAGCTCTGAATCCCTCTCTCTCCCTCTGCAGTGTCCTAGATGATGAGGGCAGCAACCTGAGGCAGCAGAAGCTTGACCGGCAGGTAAGTGAGGCTGGGTCTGACGGGAAGGAGGGGTCTCAGCTGGGGTGTTGAGGAGCAGTGAGCCCCTTTTCCTTGGGTGACCCTGTCTGACGGGATAGAGAAGTGAACTCTCTCCTTTACCAGTTCTGTGTTGTTAACGCTACCCCAGTCCTCACCTCTTCTGCCAGGCTGGTAGCTAGTCACAGGAAGACAACAACATGAAGGAGGCCTGACCCAGAGAGGGCTAGAGACCCCAGTGCAGCTTCTGGAACCTAGCCTGGTGATCAGTATGCTCCTTTTGGCCCCACTGTGCGATCCCCTTCCTCCTGAAGGAAGTAGTGGGCCAGTCCACCTCTGTGTCTGCCTTGTGCCTCTATAGCGGGCCCTGTTGGAGCAGAAACAGAAGAAGAAGCGCCAGGAGCCCCTGATGGTACAGGCCAATGCAGATGGGCGGCCCAGAAGCCGGAGAGCCCGGCAGTCAGAGGAGCAAGCCCCCCTGGTGGAGTCCTACCTCAGCAGCAGTGGCAGCACCAGCTACCAAGGTACGCCCTGCCTTTGCCCCAGGGACAGTGAGTCTAGGGGATCCCCTGCTCTGGGGTACCATGCCGTGGGGGTTCAGGTGTGGTAAGGGGTAGTGAGGGCTCGGGAGTGGTAGGGGGTGGTGAGGGGTCAAGAGTAGTAGGGGGTAGTGAGGGGGCTGGGGGATTCATTTTGCAAGGTTTGCTGAATGCTGTGTTCAACTCAGGTGGACAGCTGAGTGAGGCAGGCAGAGACATCCTTAGCCTGGGTGTCCTGTTTGTGTTCAGACTGTCACCTCCTGAGCCATGTGGCTGGTTACATTGATGTATCGGGGAGTTCCAAGGTCCAGGTTTCTGACCTGAAGCATGTCCCCGAGATCCTGTGCCCACCAGCATTCTCTCCTGTGAGGAATTCCTCTCCCATCTTCCTGCCTAGGAGCTTCTGGCTTGCCCGTCTCCTTCCTCTCTGAGCTCTTGCCTACTCAGTATGTCTGGCTTCTGACCTTAGCTCGCTATTCCTGGCTGAGGACTCCTCCAGCACTTCCATCCTTACACTTAGTTTTCAGCAGAGCCCAGTCTGTGGGAATTCTCTCAAAGGCTCATTCTGCCCAGGTGCGACTCCTTTGCATCTGAGTGCCCAGGACTTTCTCCTTCTTACACTAGGTTCAGTGCCACAGGGCTTTGTGAGAGAGAAGGCTGGAAATAGGAGCTAGATGGATGCAGTCTTCACTGCCCTCTGCTGGGCAGGTGCCAGCCATGCAGTTGGCTACTCCCTGCACAGTAGGAACTGGGAACAAGGCATGGGTATCTACCTGGCTTTTGTGGGCCTGGTAGGAATTTAGCACTGCTTTCTTGTGTGGCTCATTTCTGACCTAGAGCCTCCAGCCACATTCAACTGTTTCAAGTGTCTTCAGCTCAGGGAAGTCTTTCTTCCTCTAAATCCTGGCCCAGTCCCCACTGTCTTTCCCATGTTCCATTAGCTCAGCCCTTAGCTCACCCAAATACCATCCCAATGCTTTAAAGGGAAGAAGTTAGGGGTCCTTCACCTGTTACATAAGTCTCAACTTGGCACACTGTCTAACGAAGGCCTCCTCCATACACATGCACACACCCTCTGAGGAAACCCCTTCGTTCCTGATAGTGAAGGCTGTCTCAGGGCATTTGCCAGTGCCAAATATGGCGTTAAGTACCTGACTTGCTATGTTGTGATTTCATCCAGGGAAGATAGCCACTATCTTTGGTCCTGTGAAGCCTGGCTTGCCTTTCATCATGGCAAGACTTGCTCATGGATGTGGCAAGTTGGTTATCCTCTCTTGCACTTACAAAAAAAAGAGGAATCTTCCATTGGAAAATGGAGGAAACCACAGTGTATTCCAGGGCCCAGCCTCAGGTGACTGCTGTTCCCTGCTGATATCAGAGTAGGTGAGGCCTGTGGGGGCCTTCCCCACGGGGTATACTGGATGCCTGTGTGGAGCCTGCAGCTTCTCTGGGACGCACGGTTTCTGTCCAGCTTAGAGTGATGGATGAACCTGAGAGCTACTGCACACCTGCTGTTTGACCTGAGCTCATGCTGCTGAGCCTCCCCACTTACGTCCCTAGCCTTAGCTACCTCGTGCCCTGCCCTCTGCTGGCTCTTGGTGTTAATGCAAGGAAGGGCTCACTCCCAGAGGCAGTAAGGGAGTGGCATCAGAGCTGACCATTCATGTTACACGTCCATGAATCTCATAAACACGCGATGAAGGGCTGTGGACCAGTAGCTGTGGGTGCTGAATGAGCAGACAGGTGCGTCTCTGTTCCCACGGAGCTTCTGGTCTAGGGAGAGAATGTCGGCAGGTACATGGTACCTGTGTGAGGGAGGTAGTGGCAGGGTGCTGGCTCTCAACTAGGTGTGTGTGTGGGGGGGGCTTTTCTGGAGCTTCCAGGAAATCAGAAGTAGGAATTAATTAGATGGGAAGGACAATGCAGGCAAGGGTCCCATAACATAAAAGGAGTATGACTTATGCAAGGCACTGAGCCAGCCTGGAACAGCTGGATGCATGCTGGGCGGCAGAATGTGTTGAGGTTGAGGAAGGAGATGGAGGAGCCTACCAGGTGGGAGGCTGTTGGTTGCCACCTGATGAGCATTCAGAAACTGTTTTGAGTAGATTAGGGTCCTACTATGAGGAAAGCACAGAGGACAGCAGCTGTGCTTTTCCTGATACTTCCCTGCTGCTGTACCTAGCTCTTTGTTGGACAGAGCCCCTCCTGCCTTACACAGCTCCCATGGGTTGGGCACCCAAGGCCTCTGCAGACTTTCTGGAGTGCCTTTCTTGGCTGTGGTCTCTCTCAGAAGATACAGTCTCCGTGTCCTTCCCATTCTCCATGGGAGTCTCATGACACCCTCCTCCCACAATACTTGCCCAGGCTCATAACAGTTGGCTGACCTAGAACTTTGGTTCCTAGCTGTCAGCATCATTGTAGTAGGCTGAGGGTCTGCCCTTGACCTTTGCCTGATTGAGATGAATGGGTTGATGATGTGGGGGAAGAGCCATACAAGGGCTGGGGTGGGGACTATGGGCAAGTGGGAGATCTGATCTCACCCTACACCCATTTTTCTGTTTTGGGTTCTCTCCTGAGCAGTTCAAGAGGCCGACTCACTTGCCAGTGTGCAGCTGGGAGCCACCCGCCCACCAGCACCAGCCTCAGCCAAGAAAACCAAGGCAGCAGCTGCATCAGAGGGCCAGGGCGGGGACCCTAGGAAGGAGAAGAAGGGAAAGCATAAAGGTTAGCTTAACTTCTCAGCCCTCCCAGAGGCCTGGCCTCACTGTGGGGGCGGAGTTTACCCTCCTGACTTCAAGGTGGCATAGCATGAGCCTTCTCATTGAATGTGATCTCAGGGTGACCACCAGTAGGTGTTGTCTTGCACATGAGTACCTTGGCTAGTTTATGGGTGTGTAAGGCCTTGTTAAACTGCCAGGAACTGAAGTATAGCTTAGCTCTGGCTCAGGACCACCCCCTTCCTCTCCGCCTACCCCTGTCAGAGCTCCCTCCATCCAGTCCCCTGAGCCAGGATGCTCCCTTTGGCAGAAGCTCTCTGCTCCTGCAGCAGTTGCTGTCAGCTCTGCCCTACCATATAGAGTTTCTCCAGTTTCCTTCCCTGTCCCCAGGACTCCCAGACTCACGGACCAGTGTGTTCCCTCTGTTCCAGAGTCTAACAGATCTTTAGGGAATCTGTGACAGTGATGGTGGCCACTTCTTCAAGTCCTGTTTCCTGGCTACTATTTCATCAATCCTTGTTCATGGCCATTGGTTTCTAGGCTGCTGTATCACAGTTGGACAGTAGGGTGTCAAGGATTGTTAGGCTTTTGGAGCTGGCTGAACAAAGCTCAGCCAGGCAGAGAGGCTTCTACCTATAGGTCAGCTCTTGTTTCTGTTACTAAAGCGGAGGCTCCTTGGGCAGGAAATGTAAAGAAACCAGGCTCTGCAAGAGTATGACAGGACACAAGGGATGGAAGACCATGTGCTTGGGAAGGTGGCTAAGTGTCAACCAGAGTCATTGAGGGAGGACCCTGGGTTTTTTTTTTTAATAATTTTTATTTTTTAATATTAATCACAGGTTATTTACTTTGTATCCCAGCCATAGGCCCCTCCCTCCCAGTCCCACCCTCCCTCCCTCATCTCCTCCCTGCCCCTCTCCAAGTCCACTGATAGGGGAGGTCCTCCTTCCCTTCCATCTGACCCTAGCTTATCAGGTATCTTCAGGACTGTCTGCAGTGTCCTCCTCTGTGGCCTAGCAAGGCTGCTTCTCCCTCGGGGGGGGGGGGGGTCAAAGAGCCAGCCATTGAGTTCATGTCAGAAAGTCCCTGTTTCCCCTTACTAGGGAACCCACTTGGATATTGAGCTACAATGAGCTACATCGGAGCAGGGGTTCTAGGTTATATCCATACATGGTCCTTGGTTGGAGAAACAGTCTTATAAAAGACTTCTGTGAGGGCCCTGTTTTTAATGATGCATGTGAATGTACATTTTAATGATGTATGTGTGTGCCTGTGGGAAGAGAGAATACCAGCATGTGTAACTTGTGGCTGGCTGTGTTCAGGAGGGACCACTGCCTTCAACTATGGTTTGGATTGATCTTGTTTTCTGTCTTGTTCTTTCCACTGTGCAGTTGATTTTGTAGATGGTTACTGTCTGTCTTAAGGATGTGGAGTATTTCAAACCAACCCTTGGCAGTTATCTGGGGGGGAAGAATGAAAGAAACAAAACCCACATCCCTTTACAATTTTCCAGTTACTAACAGGCTGATAGCAGGCATTAGTTTTTTAAAAACAAGTTTGCAAATGAGGTTTTACAAAGGGTCCCATCACCCATCCCTCCCACTTCATAGCCACCTGAGAATCCAGGCTCTCCTCTCCCTCTGGGCGTAACTCAGGAGTATCTGGCTGCAGGCACCAGCGGGCCAGCAACTCTGGCAGAAGACAAGTCTGAGGCCCAAGGCCCAGTGCAGATCCTGACTGTGGGACAGTCAGACCACGCCAAGGATGCGGGGGAGACAGCAGCCGGTGGGGGCACACGGCCCAGCGGGCAGGACCTCCGTGCCACGATGCAGAGGAAGGGTGAGCCCCATGGGGGCCCAGCTGGGACCAGAGCTCAGTCCCAGGTTCTCTTCCCCAGGAACACAACCTCCTTATGTTTGGTCCAGTCCTTCCCTGGACTTGGGGGAGGAGGAGAATTCTTGGAATCAGATGAGCAGTTTGGGGCCAGGACCCCTGATGAGGCCAAGTTAAGAGAAAGAAGTATGAGCTGGGGTAGCCTACCTGTAGTCAGACCTGCCTGTAGCTCCTGTGAGCCCAGATTTACTACAGATTTCTTTGCCTTTTGCCCTTTGAAAGAAGCTGTTCATTTGTCTGCTGAGCTGATGCGAAGCAGGGCATAGCCTCCCTGGAAACCTGCTTCCCAATTCCTCCATTATGAGCCCTAAGCTCAGGGAATCCTGGGAACAGCCTTGCAGATCTACACTATTATGAGAAAACTACTAAAAGACTACTTCATGAGGAAAGAACTTTTAAGGCCACTCGGGGTGGCATTATAGATCAGGGAGGGCAGCTAAGACAGGCTCAGGGCAAGCTGGGGAAAGCACTCAGTCCCACCCACAGACTGAGTGGTCAGAGTCTGTGGCCTGTGTCATCTATGGCCTTCAGTCAGAACTAGAAATGAGAAGTGGAGGCTTCTTGTGCAGGTTCAGCTCAGCTCAGGCTTTGATACATAAGAGACAGGGATGATGTAACTGCTAGTGAAGAAGAGGTACAATGTGGGGACTGAGCTAAAATTGGGTGGTGGGAATGCATCCCAAGGAAAATCGTGACAAGCCCCAGTTTATGTGTGTACCAAAGAGAACATGTGTCCTTGTATGTGTCTGAATGCATGGGAGTACTTACAGCAGTGTGAGGGTTTGTGCAGATGGCTGTATTAATGCCTGGGTGTTGGTGAGTCAGTGTCTAAACGTGCATCTACATGTGACCACCTATATTTTCACTATAAACATGTTTGCTTGCTCATCCCTCCCTGTTCTCTGCTCACTACAGGCATCTCTAGCAGCATGAGCTTTGATGAGGAAGAGGATGAGGATGAAAACAGCTCTAGCTCCTCCCAGCTAAACAGCAACACCCGCCCTAGTTCTGCCACTAGCAGGAAGTCCATCAGGGTGAGTGAGGGAGGAGCCTTCATCCCCTGTGAGGCTGACATCAGTCATTAGGTCTGTCTATGGGTTGTGTTCTAAAACACTGACCAGAAACATTTTGGAGAGGAAAGGATTTATTTGGCTTACACTGTCAGGTCACAATCCGTCATTGAGAGAACTCAAGCAGAACCTATGGAAGAACAGTGCACACTTGCTCACTTCCAGGCGCATGCCCAGGTAGCTTTCTTAATCAGCCAGAGCCCACCCTCTTAAGGATGGTGCCACCCACAGTGGGCTGGGCCTTCTTACATCAAGACCATCCATCATAAACATGGCCACAGGTCAGTTTGATCTGGGCAAGCACCCCCCTTCTTTCTCCTTGGCTCTGCTGTCAAGCCATTGAACTAGGATATGAGCTACTTTGTGTATGTGACATCATGAGGTGCCGGCTTTCCTTGGGTTAGGTGTCTATATGAAGCTTCCCTGGCTGGGCTCTTCTGCTTCTCCACTGTGCCTCTGGCCTGTTCAGCAAAATCAAGGGGCTAGGATGTGGGGAGAGCTGGACTTGGGCAGGATGGCCTCCCGAGACCCTGTCCTTACCCCTGACCCCATCTCCAGGGACTACTGAGGAAAGGGAAAATCTAGAACATAGCTCCTGACCCTGAAGCAGGATGGCCACATCCATATCCCAGGGATACTGCCCTACCTCACCTTCTCCTCCCTGAATCAGGAGGCAGGCTTTTACCATAGCCCACCAGTCTGAAGTATAGAGTCTTTTTATTTAGGTTTCTACTCTTCTTCTCCATAGGAGGCAGCCTCAGCCCCCAGCCCAGCAGCCCCAGAGCCACCAGTAGATATTGAGGTGCAGGATCTAGAGGAGTTTGCACTGAGGCCAGCCCCCCAGGGGATCACCATCAAATGCCGTATCACTCGGGACAAGAAGGGGATGGACCGGGGCATGTACCCTACATACTTTCTGCACCTGGACCGTGAGGATGGCAAGAAGGTGAGGTTCCTCTGGGCATGTATTTTCAGTGTGAAGGTCTAGAGGCTACAGTATGAGGGAAGCTCAGCGCTGACACTGGCCTTTCGGTTCTTCAGGGAAATAAGTGTTCTGTGTGGACTCATGGCTGTCAGTGCTTGTGTGTGTGTCAGTGCTTGTGTGTGTGTAGGGAGATGGAGCAAGATGTGTGAGAAGCCACTATAATTGGGGATTTTATCTGCAATGTGACATTGCTTTGCTCTTTAAGGTGTTCCTCCTAGCGGGCAGGAAGAGAAAGAAGAGTAAAACTTCCAATTACCTCATCTCTGTGGACCCAACAGACTTGTCTCGGGGAGGCGACAGCTATATTGGGAAATTGCGGTAACAGTGCTCTCTCAGAAAGTCAAGGGAGGGAGGGGCCCAGAAAGACTTCTGATGTCTCTGAAGGAGATTCTTTCCATCAAGTCCAACCACAGGCCAGTCTGAGCAGCCTTCAGTCAGAAAAGACTAAGCTGCTACAGGGTGTTGTATATACAGGCCCAGCAGCATGAGTGACAGGTTAAATCGCTGCCAGTGATAGAGGCCACCATGGGAGAGTTGCTTTGGCTCCCTGATCAGAGCCAAGGGAAAGGGCTGCAAAGAAGGAGGTGAGGCAGGGAGGCCCTGAGTGAGGAGTCACTGAGCAAGAGTAAGATGTGAGTAGCAAAAGCTGGACGTAGCCCTGGAAAAGACAGAAATGGTCATTCTCCGAAACATGAAGAATCCTCTCTGGCCTCCTAGATGCCACTCTGCTAACTTTCCAAAAAAAAAAAAAAAAAAAAAAAAAAAAAAAAAAAAAAAAAAAAAAAAGCAGTGCCACTGTCCCCTCCAAGAAACCCATGAGCCCTGACTCACTCCCTGGATTTCCTTCACTGAAATGAGATGCCCTTTCAGTTGACTGCTTGTGGAGTACCACCACTGTGTCCCCAGGTCTGCCCTGGTCCATCCCACAATACTCTGTGGGCTTCTTATAAGAGAATGGGCTGTCCCATGCCATGGGGAGAGGTATACAAGCCTGTTGGTTGTGTCTTTCCTTCAGGTCCAACCTGATGGGCACGAAGTTCACCGTTTATGACAATGGAGTCAACCCTCAGAAAGCGTCATCTTCTACACTGGAAAGTGGAACACTGCGCCAGGAGCTTGCAGCTGTGTGCTATGTGAGTCCTCAGTTCTAGGCAGACATGAGCCATAGTGCCCAACCAGGGGCTACCCCACTTACCTTGAGAAGTGCTCGACCAGGGGCTACCCAAAGTCTTCTGCAGACTGACCCTGTGTGGGACAGGGGCCTAGACCTTACCTGTCTTCAGGGCTCAGGCCACAGCAGGCTAACTGCCTGGGGAGCTGTGGGAACTACCTGGCCCTGAAGCCTGACTCAGAAGGCTCCTGGACAGGAGGAAGTATAGCGTTGGGTTCCTTTCTGTACTATACCCACAGCTTGCTGCTACAGCTGCAGTGCCAGGCACTGCATGGATCTAGAGCCTTTCAGAATGGTTTCAGAACTGAGATTCTGTTCCCTCTTTGATCTGGAAACTGAAGCTTGGAGTTAGGGCACATGCTAACATTACACCAACGAGAACAAGGTTGGAATATAAATACATGAGCATGCTTTGTTATGAACTTGGTTTCTTCATTTTTAAAAGTAAAGGACCAGTGAATTTGGCCAGGGATATTTCTCAGGGACTGTTAGGACTCCTCAGCTATTTCAAATGATCCCATAGTGCCACCTGCTGGCAAGTTTTAGAGAGGCAGCCTGAGCCTATCTATATTCCAGGTACTGTTGGGACTATGTCACTTAGGATAGTAAATAGAAACAGTTAAACCCTTATGGCATTTACATTTTTAGTAAAAGATAAGCCACAAAATGGATGTGAGTGAACTCTATATGTTATTTCTTTCTCTATCTCTATCTCGGTTTTTTGAGACAGGGTTTTCCTGTGTAGCCTTGGCTGTCCTGGACTTGCTTTGTAGACCAGGCTGGCCTCTAACTGACAGAAATATGCCTGCCTCTGTCTTCTGGAGTGCTGGGATTACAGGTGTGCACCACCACACCTGGCTGAAATAAGTTCTTGATCAGTGCTCAGAATTAAAAATCAAGTAGAGATATGGGTCTATGAAATGTCAAGATGTATGTGGACCTGTAGGAGTGATGGCAGAGTGGGTCCTGTCAAGGTGACTCTTGAGAAAAGATCACAAGTGAAAACCAACTGTGTACATGTCTGTGGAGGGCAGATTGATTGCAGAAGAGAGTTAAGGTAACAAGAAGACTAAGGAATAGGGACCAAATCACATAAGGCCCTGAAGGTAGAATAAGAGTTGCCCAGCACATCCTTTAACAGGACTGACAGTGAGGGTGCTATGTTGAGGACAGATGGTGTGAGGAGAGCCCAGGGCAGAAACAAGGAGTTGCAGAAGTGGCTGTTTGGTGACTGAATGTATAGCTGATAGGAATTGTGGATAGGTTAGGAATGAGCGGTGACTCCAGTTCACTTGAGTGAGTGTAGGTGCTGACCTGCCATTGGCTGGAGCAAGCTGGGCTGTGAATGGGAGCACTTTGGGCTGTGCTACATCTAGAGGTGACTATTAGACTGGCACATTTGATGTTGCAGACATTTTATGGCTCTTCGTCTTTACCAGTCTGGCCCAGTCTCTCCATAGGCAAACACTTCTAGGTAGCCAGCACTGAATTCTCTTGTTTTCCCAGGAGACAAATGTCCTAGGCTTCAAGGGACCTCGGAAGATGAGTGTGATTGTCCCAGGCATGAATATGGTTCATGAGAGAGTCTGTATCCGTCCCCGAAATGTAAGTCCTACCTAACACTTCCCTGGACCTCTGGAAAAGATTCCTCTTGGGGTGGTAATGATGCCAAGGCCTGAGTCTGCCTCAAGTGAGGCTTCCTGTCTCCTACCCCCACCAGGAACACGAGACTTTGCTAGCACGCTGGCAGAACAAGAACACAGAGAGCATCATTGAGCTGCAGAACAAGACACCAGTCTGGAATGATGACACACAGTCCTATGTACTTAACTTCCATGGGCGCGTCACACAGGCTTCTGTGAAGAACTTCCAGATCATCCATGGCAATGACCGTGAGTTGCTGCCCCTGTTTTTGATACTGAAAATATGGTACCCAACCCCCATCCCCAGTCTGGTCCACACCAGCCAGAGTGACAGGATGTGGGAATATGGCTTGTATTATAACTTTCTCCCTGTAGTGATTAGAGCCCTGGCCCTAGATCCTGTGTGCCCAGCTGTGTCTGGGGCTTGGGAACATCCTTTAAATGTGTATCTTTTCTTCCCTGTACCCTGCTGTCTGTATGCCTCTCCCCCCTTTACCCTCTTGCTCCTTAATCCTGTGTCTTCTCCCGGGCTCTTGTTTTTCCATCCTTTGTAATATCTTTGGCACCTTTGCTTTTCCTTCCCTCTTGTGGCCTGTATCTTACCTGCTCTTCCTGTCTCCACCATTCATGCTTGTGCATGGTCACAGCGGACTACATCGTCATGCAGTTTGGCCGGGTAGCAGAAGATGTGTTCACCATGGATTACAACTACCCGCTGTGTGCACTGCAGGCCTTTGCCATTGCACTGTCCAGCTTTGACAGCAAGCTGGCCTGCGAGTAAAGGCCCCCTCTGCCTTTAGGGTGGCCCAGTCCGGAGTGGAGCTTGCCTGCCTACCAGGACAGCCCTGCCTACCCTCTGTTCATAGGCCCTCAGTGGCCTCTCTGGCCTTACCAACCAGAAGCTGGCTGTTCTGCCTCTGCTGCTGAAGCAGGGGAATAGCAAATGGGTACAAGGGAAAAGAGTATTTCTGTGCCCCAGGGTCAACACACATACCCAGTCTTGGGTCAATACCCGGCCGCAGTCATATTTGCCATACTGGGTAGCCTCTTCAGCTGGAGGTACAGAGGGAGAGGAAGCACAAGCAGGGCTGCTGTGGCCTAGCCATCCACTCAGCCTATAAGTCAGAGGATAATGGGTGTCCCAGGAGATAGGGTACAGTGTTTGGATAGGGTACTTGAGCTTTATGTAGCAAAGATCCTGGTCAGCAGAAAGTACTCCCACTTCAAAAGGGCCCATTAGGCCTAAGGGAAGTTGGGAGATGGTAGGGATAGGAGAGTGGCAGGACCTTACTAGGATTGCAGGGACCTGGCTGTGTGAATTAACTGGTAGCTTGGAGTGCTAGCTCATTCATTGCTTCAGATTTGCCCAGTGATTGCAGAAGCAAGAACCCAACCCTCAAGGCCAAATTCTCTGAATGGATGGGGGTTAGAGAGCTCGTCTAGTAGGCTCCCTACATAGGGGTCTTTGATGTTGAACAGCCCCAGCACAACACCTATGACACATACATGGGATCTAGGTCACCATTTAAGTGATGGCATGCTTCAAGAAGAATGTCCTCTCTGGGAAGACCCAGCTCCCATTGTTGCCAGCATCCCATGATCAGTGAGGGCTGCATGCCATTCTTAGAGGAATGGAGCAGGGTGGGAAGAGCAGAGGATATGTTAGGGGCACAAGAGAGCCCAGAGGTGATAGATAGTACTCTGTGTGGTTCACCAAAAGCACTGCTGATCCCTGAGAACTTGTCTCTTAGTTACCTAACTGGTTAGTGGCAGAGTCCAGAACCTTAAGTTCCTTTGTTCCCACTGTTGCCCAGAAACTAGACTCTCTGGCCTTCTGGGGTCAATTCTGCATGCCCTCTCCCTTCACACAATTCCAGAGACCCAAGACCCTCAGAGTTAATGTATAGGCTGAAAACCTTTCCGTAGGGAATCAGGCAGTTCCCTGTTGAAAGTTGTCTGAGTTTTTGTACACCATTCTGATCTGATGTGGCCTGTGCGTGGCCCCTCTATGAGGGCTTCAAGCTGTGTACAGACCTCAGAAGGACCATTGCACACTTTGTATAGATGTTACAGGCAGCCCGAGGGTTATGGGGCTGGGCCTGGACATCCCCTCCACTGCCACTTTTCCTTGGATAGCACCACTCATCTGGTGGGCTTGGGAACTCCCAAGCGCTTGCCCATGTGTCATTTGTGAGAAGCTTCTTGCCTAGATGGATAAGAAACCAGTGGAAAGCAAAGAGCATTTAGCCACTGCCTCTTGCTTTAAAATAGATATGCTTAGAAAAGCTAAGTAGAAATTTTTAAAGTCATGCTTCGAATATGTGAGTGAGGCTGTACGGGTAGGAAAGCTGGATTGATGTAAATGGAGTTAGTACTTCAAAAAGACCTAGAATATGTTCCTATGTTGGACACTCGAAGTAAGGCACACCTGCTGTAGCAGGATCTGACAAACCTGAGCCATACATGCCATGAGAGGACCCTCCAGTGAGTTAGCCTTTGTTTACAGTCTAGTTTCTAGAAGGCAGTAGGACTTCCATGCTGGGACTAGCCTATCTCCTGATGAACGATTACAGTGCCATCTCCTTCCCATAGTTCTGTGTTTGCCCCCCCCCCCCCCACACACACTTTATAAGAAATCTGCTGACATTAGAGGTGATAGAAACCAGGTCTTCAGTCTGGTCAAGCTCCTTCTCTGGGTTTACAGTTTTAAGGTTAAACAGGCTGATTCTGTAGTCTAGCGAGTGGAGGGGATCCTGGTGGTGAGAGTTTAACTGGAAGCACAATGGAGAACTCTCTTGGCCTCTGCTCTCTACTTTAGCACACAAAAAGGGGTATTGACTATTTGAATATAATTTGGTAGCACCAGGAAATAGGCTGAACCTTGTAGCCCACTGTGGAGAAAAGCAGCCTCAGCACAAACCCCTCTATTGGGCACTGAGTGTCAAGACCACCCTCACAAGGTCAGATTTTAAGACTCAACTCCTGGTGACATTGCCTTTTGCCTGGATTCAGCCTCTGCCAGAGTAAGATTTCTTACCCTTCATACTTCTTCTCCTAGTTTGTCCTTGGCTGGGCAGCAGATGGATGGGATGTAGTCTGTATGAGTGCAGGACAGCTGGAACTTTAGGCAGCGCCTCTGTATGCTACTGGCTCTAACCCTACAACCTCCACCCTCTGCTCCAAACGGTTCTTCGCAGAGTGGTGCTGTTAGCTTCCCCATCTCATCTCCAAGTCTAGCTTTTTCTGTCCTTCTGGCTCCAAGGTGCTCTGTGTCCATCTGTGTGTGCGTGTGGTGTGTCTCTGTAGGAAAGGGCAATCTGCAAACAATCAGCAGAAGCTGACGATCACATCAGGAAAAGAATACGGAGGCAGTTGTGACCACTGTGAATTATGTCCCTTCATTCCACGCTCTTTCTCCCACGGTTCTGAGCAGGGGACTCCCAAGGAAGTGTAGTGTCAGTCTCATTGGAGGAGGAACTGAGATGTGCATCCTTTCGAAAGAGCATGGTGTAGTGATGGTGCCTTAACAATCTTGACACTAAGGGGAAGCAAGCAAGGAAGGTGCATGTCTATGGAAGACAGATGTTGGAAGCCAAGATGTGTGCTGACAGGCTGGAAGAGAACTTTTGGTAAACCTACTTTTTTCAGTGATAAGGCAACAATGTTAAAAAATGCTTTTGTTGTTGTTTTCTCCTTTTCTGGAAATGGCAGGGTATTTGCCTCAAAACTTTATGGAGAAGTAGTTCTAAGTTTAACAAGCAATAGGGATGACTGCTCAGATGGGGTCTGTAGGAAGAAGCTGTCCACAGCTCTGCTCTGCAAGCACAACACCCGTCTCACAGAAGGACAGCCTGGTTTCCTCTTATCGGCAGCCCTGGAGTACCCTTCTCTGTACTCCTTGCCCCAGCTACAATGTCCTCACAGGATTTCAGGATGTCAGGTGCCATCAGAGCATGCTTTCTTGTGGTGCCTAGCACTGTGACTCGGGCCCAACTGCCCTGCAGAGTTGGGACCTTACACTGCCCTAGGCCCTGGCTTATAGACCTGCTCTAGTCTCCAGAACAGGCTATGGGATAGATTTTTATTTCAGTTTATGGACACCTGCCCTTATTCACTTCCAGTTTGCAATTTTCTGTCATTTCAAGATCTTAAGAAGTATTGTGATGGGTCTGAGTTTTCAGCGCAGAGGCGAGTTGGTCTAGAATACAACTGCACTGAGCAGCTAGAGCATTTGAGCAAACTACGTATTCTGTTTCCTTACCTGCAAGATGAAGGCCTATCAAAGCTTGCTAGAGAAGTTAGAGTTAGTGAAGGTCAATCCTTGCTCTCATCACTACCTTTCCTAGGTCATCACTGTGCCTTCTTTCTTTCCTAAGAAAGACATTGCACCCCTCTCCTCTGTTCTCCTGCCCCTCCTCCCTCACTGAGATCCAGGTAGAGCTGGAGATGAGGCTGAAATGTAGGTCTATAGAACACCTCAGAGGAGCGTAGAAGGAGACATAGCTCCAGCCTCCTGGACCCTGCACTGATGACCGGCTTGGTGAGGATAGGCAGCATTTCTCTTGCTGGGAGCACACTTAGCCAGTTTTCATGCCTAGAACATGTATGTCGATTTGCACATGACTGTCTTTTCCTATTTTGGAGTGGTCAGACATTTTATTTTTGTTCAAAATTATCTGGAGTTTTAGACAAACTTGCAAAACTGTGCTTTTATTAAGTGACTTTTTGAATAAACTTTTTGGTATTCTGAAGCAAATGTATTTATTTATTGGTATGTGCAATGACAAACTTCGTATTTTCCCATAATGACATCATGTATGTTATAGAATTTAGTGTTTGTCTAAGTACAGACATGTATCAACAAATTAAACTTGAACTGTTTCACTGCTATGTCCTTGTTTTTTCATAGAGGGAGAAAACCTTTCTCTCCTAAAAATGTTCTTCATTCCATTCATTCCTAGGTGCTTCAAAGGCTCAGGTGGGTAATAGCAACAGAAAAGGTCCAGAACATGTTTAGAACCATCGACACAAAGCAACACTGTCTTCTCCTGTGGTGCCACATCCATTATTGGGAAAAAATGAGGTTAGAAGATACATCCAGGTCATCTGGGTCAACTGGAGGAACTGGCTGATAGTTCTTAAGTATGTGGCCCTTGTAGACAGAACTGGGCTGTAGGGCTCAGAGTGGGAAAGGCCTGGCTTGGAGCTGGGACTATTTAAACAGGACTTTTACATTGTGGGGATCTTTTTCAGTCTGTGGTGGATTTGAAACCAAGATGATGGAAGCCTGTAGTTGCTGCTTAAAGCAGGCATCAAAGTTAATTATCTGCTTGAAGGGAGCCATCACAAAGTCACACAGACTTGGCCCACAGATTTGACCAGGCCTATAAGGGGGACATGATTCCTAGTCCACTCACAAGAAAAATGATACCATATGAAGTGAAAAAATAGTCCATTTTCTTGATACTAGAAAGTGTTGTAGACATGCTAATAGTTAAGGAAGTTTGTGTTCTTCCTGATTACTACCCAATAGGTGGCACACAAAATATTCTTTGTGGATGCAAACTGTCTAAATAATGGGGGAATTTAAGAGTAGATCTACTATCAGTGTTCATTTATTTACTTAGATAAGTGTCTTTGATGTAAAGTATTTCCTACCTGAACCATGGCCTGGCTCCTGTAGCCTCAGCATTTGTGAGGAAGACCATATACAGGATGCTCTAAAAGGGAAAGAGGTTTTGTTTGTGTACACATCAGATTGAAGAAAAATCCTAAATTGTGTAGAATATACATCCAGGAAAATGTTGTTTTACATCTGTTGCCACTGAGAGTTAATCTTGATTGCCAACTTTATGGGACTTAGAATCACCATGGAAACACACCTGTCTATGAATGTGTTTACAAGAAGCTTTAGTTAAGGAGGGAAGACGCATCCTTACTATGGACAGTGTCATCCCACTGGCTAGGATCCCAGATTGAATAAAAGGGAAAACAAGTGAAATGCTAACAGTCGCCTCTCTGCTCCCTGTAAACCAGCCCTTATGGCATATGCTGCCGTGAAGGACTGTGCTCAAGCCATATCTTCTTTTTGCACTGTTACCTTTGTTAGGTATTTCTGTCACAGCAATGAGAAAATTTAATATTAATTGTGCCATGAGTATTAAGTTCTTTTTTTTCCGAGTGTCTTAGTGCAGACCATAAGTTATTTTACCACCTATGTCTAAATATAAAGAACATGGTTCCCACAGGCCATAATTTTTAGAGGCTAAATCCACCTCTACTCCTCAGCACACCTGCCAGGCCTAGTCCCTGAGGTGATGCAGCACTGCCTGTGTTCCTACTATAACCAGGTTAAGGGCTCTTCTGGCTGATCACCACCTGATTTACCAAGCATGGCCCTAGGTGATGTACAGTGGCTTCTTAGGCCAGTTACTGCTGTGGTTCCCCAGAGGTCACTGCAGACCTGGCAAGGCCTTGATGAAGTCTGCAGCCCATAATATTGAAAAATGAAGAGCACAACAATGAAAACCAGGCCCTTGATATTGCTCACCCTGGGTTGGATGGATATACATGTAAAAACCATCATATCCAAAGGATACAATTCTGGAAAATAAAAAAAAAATCTATATTCTAAATTACTGAAAGGTATATTAAAATTTCTGGTATATCCAAGCAAATATATTCCTATATGTAAGCCAACATCTAGAGTGGCAATAACCATGAGGGATTGGTCCTTCTGGCAAGAACTGTTTCCATAGCTAACCCCAATAATAAGAGTTGGCTTTGTAACACTTTTCACCTGAATATCCATCTACACACCACACTGTACTTGCTAACTTGTACTCTTTCTGACAACATGTTCCTTTTCTTCTTTGCCTATGTTCTCAGCACGCCACAAAATCTCTTCTGAAATTTATTGATACTTTGGCAAAAACATTCCTGTTCTTCCATGCTCCTGTAATTTTGGATTCATACTGTAATAGAATGGCTGTCACAAGATATGTTATTATGCATGAGCTAGTCATGCTGCCAACACCTTCCTTCCAACCCTGTGAGACCTGTGTTTTTACTACCCTCACTTTACAGGTGTCAAACCAGCCTCAGACTAACTGAGGACCAATTCAAGATTCTACAGCCACAAATAGGAATTCACAATCCCGAGCCTTCCTGTGGTCCACAATGCATCTGTCAGACTCCCACATTAAACTAAAATTCTTCAGGGTACAAATTCACTTAGTACTCAACATGGGGCACTTATCCAATGAATGAATGAAAACAAAACAAGTTCTTATCTAATAATGGAATCATATCCTATGAACAAAAATTAGAATGAATGACCGGGGGCTATCTTAAATCAACTTCTCATAAATGAGAAGAATCACACAGAAAACAATTCGCCAAAACAAGAGAACCTACATTGCTTTTTGCACTTAGTGTTAGTTATGTTGAGACCATCTTCAGTACATGCTCAACTGCATTCTTCACAATTTCAATCAAATGTTCCACACAGGGACTGATACAGTGCAGTGTTTTTAGACTCAATCTTCAAAGGACTTCTCTAGTTCAGCTAACACATAAAGCTTTGCAGTAGCTGGCAGTATCTTAGTGTGGACTCATACCTTCTGATGGCAGCCAGTATGCTCCTGAGTGATCCAAACTATCTTCCAGCATCATATTCAAGCCAAGTACAACAGAACTTTAAAGACTGTATCCAGCTTCACAGACTTCCTTAATTTTTGAGTCTCCCATTTTATGACTGTGAATGTCCTTGCAGATACGTCACCTTCCAAATTTCAGGTCTTCCATGTAACTGAACTGACTCACCCTTGTTAGGATTCACAGGTTCCATCTTGTCTCACTAGACATGGTGGTTTCCTGGCCACCCGAGTTCCTCATGGAAGGACCACCATACTTAGGCAATCCTGTAGCTTCAACAGCCTCAAACTCCAGCTCTGTAGGACACAAACTAATGCCTGTGCCTCAAATTCCCCGTAGCTACAGAACACCAGAGATATAAAGGTGCTTCTGGATTTGGCAGTTCTATTCAACAGAGTAAAGACAAAGGAATCTAGGGATCAAGGAAATATATAAACAAAATGGTCTCCAAATAGGCCTGTGTGTTCATGCCCTGCCATGCTGGAGGAGCCAGGGTATCTTAGAAGACTGGGGAGAGACTACAGCTCAGTCTTGCTGTGCTCTGGGCGTCTCATCCTTACAATCGAGCATGCTCTTCTCAGGGGACCACTCACAAGTTCAAGGCCCAAAGAATAAGGCATTTGGGAGTCTTAAAATCTTCATTCTTAAAACCTTACATCCTCAATATCTGCTAATCCAGTGCTCATTCTCAGGTAAATCATCTGTTGCTCCTATGAAGGTCAGATGTTTGTGTAGGTGGTACTACCTGCAAGCACATCAACCAAATATGTTTACTGAATGAGTTAGTTTTTCTGATATGGAAAGGCATGAAGAGAAAGGTGATCTGTCCTGTGTTCACACTAATGGCTACTTTACAAGGTGACAGGTGTGCAAGCACCAGGAAGGATAGACAATATCCATGGTAGTGGCTCAAGAACTATGACACTGAACACAAAGAGGGAAGCAGAGGGCACAGGGCCATGGATGAAATCTAGGAAAGGTATCTTGGGAACAGAGTAATGGATACTTCCCCAAACAGGCTGCTTTCACTCCAAACCCTGGGGGTTGCGCTTCCTCAACATGCTACCAATGTGTGTGTTAGCAGTGCTGATCCCCAACCCTTCATTTGTAAAGTCTTGGGGCCAGTCTTCTTTGGTGGCTTCCTCTTGCTCACTGTAGCCATCTGCACTGAAACCAGCATTCTCTGCCAGGACAGCAGGATCCTCTTCTTCATGAAAACAGCAGGAGCACGATTCTGGTTTAGGATCACACAGGGTAACAGAATTATCTTTTTGGGCTCCATAGTCAGAGGGCAAATGATCCCAGCTCAAGTGATCTGATCCTTCCTCTTCTATCACTCCTATTTGTTCAGCTATTTCTTCAGCAGAGGGCTCTTCTGGATCAGGGTAATCCACCAGGATTGTTTCCTTCCTACGCTTGATACCATCCGAGAGGTCGTATATTGGATAAGTCTCTTCAGGGTAACCTAGAGAGGAAAATAGCACAAAGTCTTACAAAGAACATCTTTGAAAATAAATAGTGCCAGGATCAGAGAGGATTTCCTGGCAACAGCATCCTATCCTAGCAAATCCATTCAATAAATCTCTAAGATGGTTCTAACAGTCCTCAAGTTTCACTTGAACAAATTCCTACCAGTCTGGCTGACTGTCCCAGTGCTCTGTGAAATACAAACCAAGACAGGGGAAAATCCTTTGTAAGTAAAGTGCTTGGAGTAGAGGTAAGTCTCACCCCTCATATTTCTGAAACTGATAAAGATTAAGCAGACAGCATGAGCCTTCAGCATTTAAAAAAAAAAAAGTGCCAATACCAGATGGAAAGGGGCTTAGCTATAGGCTAGTGTTTACAATTTCTATTTGAAACCATTTCCAAATCTTCTGCCATGGCTGGGGCTGGGGCTGGGAAAAGAAATGCTAAGCCCTTTGAAAAATAAACCATGTTGCTTTCTACTTATTAAAACAACCAAAATAGTCTGTAACTGTCGGTAGCAGGGGCAGGTTAGCAAGACATGATCATGACCCCACAGGACAAGAGTCGCATTTTCAGAGACAGAATTCTCATTATTGGCATCTTCATTTTAACAAAATGGAACAAAAGGAAAAAACAACAAATAGGTAAGGAAAATTAGTAACACTAGCACCATATCTCAGCTATGATGATGAGAAAGAGGCTATGCTGCCAAATAAGGAATGCAGTGAAATAAATCTGTGTCAGCCAAGCCAAGCCCGAGCAGCAGATGGGCTATGCTGGAGCTCATATGGCAGTGCTGGCAACTGCAGGGCTCACTACACAATATGGAAAGCTGGAGAACTCAAAATTCATTTGCACATGGATGATAACTGCATATTCACCTCCTAAAGATACCACTTTTTGCCCACCAACTATGAAAAATAGTAATCTTCTGGTACAATGTGAGGTATCTAGAGACATTTTTACAACACTTTTTATTATAAAAGTCACTCAAACTTGGCAAAATTTTTGAAAGAGAGTAGTATAGCCTTTATTTTGTTATGCTTTTCCTACTAGTTTTAATTACAAGTTTTAAAAGAAAACACAATTCACCCAGAATCCTACCACTAGTAATTTGTTTTCCTCAGGCTATCATATATAGATAGTATTTTCCTTTTTAATAAAGAAGGATCATATTGAATATATATTGCTGTCCTATACTTTTGCATTTAATATGTGTCATGGATATTTCCCCATGTCATATAACTAACATGATTTACTATTCTTATATGAAGACATTTGACCAGCTTCCTTTTAACTTGTCCCCACTATAAGCTATGTGGCAGTGAGAGCTCTATATAAACCCAGATCACCTACCACAATTCCTCAAGATGGGCTTCTACAAATATGGAGAGTAGGCCAAGAAGAACAGTCACTAAAGACTTTGTATCTTCACCAAATTATTCTGCAGAAGAGTCATATAACATTTTAGTTCTCCCAGATATGTAAAAAACTCCTGCTTACTAATCCCTCAGCAGCACAGACATAAATATCATAATCTGGCCTATGCAGCCTTCACTCCTAGGATTAACTGTGGACAGAGTGCTAGCTAAAACAAGGGTGTAACCATCACTGTGATTTGAGTGTTTGTCCCTCCCCAAAACCCTTGTTGAAGCTCAATTCTCCAAGTTATACATTAATGGTATTTTGAAGGGAGTTTTTTTTTAGGAGGGGATTAAATTGGGTCTGAAGGTAGGTTCCATATGATGGCATTCATGGATCTGTAAGAAGAACTGAAGACATCAAGCTTGCTCTATCAGGCCAAGTGATGCCCTCTGCCATACAATGGCCCAGCAAGAAGTCTGACCAGATGCCAAGTGGATGCTGACAGCATGCTCCTAGGTCCCCAGATCATCAACTAAATACACCTCCATCCTTTATAAGTGACCTCATCTGGTATTCAGTTATAGCAATAGAAAATGGATTGCAATAGTTACCCAAGGCCTTCACAACCTCAGGGCAGGGGCTTGCTACTTAGATCTCAACCACTAATTTTTCAAGAGAAGTCCATTTGCTTGCTTTAGTCCACATAATGAGCAAAGCTTACCTTTGCATTTCGATGACTACCTGCTTTGGTGTAGGAGGGAAGGCAATTAGACTCAAGCACTAGGCACAATCCAGCAGCCCCAGGATTCAGTAATCCTGGCCTTCACAGACCCAGGCATCAGGCCTATTTTAGCACAAAGTCCCAGGGCAGCCCCTTGACCCTAGTTATCATGCCTATACCTAGCAATATCTACATTGGCCACCACAGAAATAGAGTCCAGGTCTACCCAGCAACAAGTGGGCTTTAGGTTCCAAACCAGCCCTGAACCAGTTAGCAAACCCAACCACAGCTTCTAGGTCTGGCCAGAGTCCAGATACCTCCAGAGTCAGAAACCAGGCTGATAAATGCAGACATGGGCTCCATATTTACCCACTGCTGGTATACTCCTGACTCTCCACAGTCTCATGGAATTCAGTACCTATGTTCATTTCAGTAGATGTGAATATTAAAGAAACACACAGCATCAAGCTTCTAGATCACCTCTATGCACGACACAGTCCCAGGACCTAAAGGTAGGCCCACAGGCTTTCTGATGCAGAATAGGCCTCAGACTGCCAAGAACTTTTAGACTCAAGGTTCCAGGCCCATTCCAACTCCAGGTCATCCCCTGGGGGGATCCAGACTTTAAGCAAGCTGCCTAAAGATACAAATAAAACAACAACAAAATCTAACCAGAAAGGAAGACTGAAAGGGACTGAAAAGAACAAAGAATCTACAAAAGAACCAAAAACAACTATCAAAATAACAGTGAGGGGCTAATGAGATGGCTCAGTGGGTAAAAGCACTTACCTTACCAAGCCTAATAAGCTGGGTTCCACCCCCAGGACCAACATAGTGGAAAGAACGAACAACTTCAACAGGCTGTTCTCCTACCTCCACATGTACACTGTGGTACACACCCACATGCATAGGAACACACACGCACAAACACACAAATAAATGCAATAAATATCTTAAATGACACTAGTAAGTCCTTACCTATAAACTGTTACATTGAATATAAATGGGTTAAATTTTCTAATCACCAGAATGGCTAAATAAATTTTAAAAATAAGAAGGCCCAACTCTGCTACTTATGAGACATTCATTTCAACACTAATGACAGAGTGAAAGAGAAGACATCCCATATAAATGGAAAACTAAAAAAACAAGTATAAGGAAAATTAATGTTAAACTCAAAACTCTCACTAATGACAACACCTGAATGCTGAAGCAGCTCATGTCAAATGACTTTACTTACTACTTTAAAACTTCTTTAAAAAATATAAGCAAACAACAAAGATTCACTGCTTCTGCGAAAAACACAGCAGTTCAAAACATGAGAACCAAGTTAAGCAAATTATATAGCAGCCACTAATAAAATAGTCAACACAGGAAATAGGATTTAGCATGTCACCTTATCCTCTTATCCCTAGTGACATACAATAGGATATGGAGCAAATGGAAAACAGAACTACTGTAAACAGAAAGGCATGATCACAAGATGAAAAAAAAAATCTTTTTGGCTTTTCAAGACAGGGTTTTTCTGTATAGCCTTGGCTGTCTTGGACTAGCTTTGTAGACCAGGCTGGCTTCGAACCCATAGAGATCCACCTGCCTTTGCTTCCCAAGTGCTGAGATTACAGGCATGTGAGACCATGCCTGGCACATGACAAAAAATTTATACCCAGGAATAAAAGTCACAAGATCATGATAGACATAGCTGAAAAACAAATCCAAGTATTAAAAGTTCACACTGAAAAATTCTCCTGTAACAAAATACAAATGACAAAGAAATGAAAATTCTGAGAAATTGTGGAGGTTGATCAGTGTACCCAATTTTGAATTACTAGACTGTGAAAGCAAAGTAAAATATATCAAACATTAATTAAAAAAAAAAAAAGAAAGAAAGAAGACATCTATTCACTGAGGGAAGGCTCACTAGCTGCTGAACAAAAATAGTATAAAAACACATTCATGTATACAGAGGCAGAACCAATGACTGTGACCAAATTCAGATTTTTAAATATAAGATGAAAATAAATTCCCAGACAGAAAGTAAGCAGCTAACTAAAACAAGGCTAACTATTGAGAAAAGGGATCAGACCAGAACAATATTTCTTGTTTTTAATCAAGTGAAAAGAACAGAATGGAGAGTTTTCAGACTTTTTTTTATATGTATTAGTGTTTTGCCTGCACATATGTCTGTGTCATCTGTGCGCCTGGTGCCCAAGGAGGCTAGAAGACTGTGGGGCAGGTAAGCCACATGACCAGGGAAAACCAGAGGAGCCAGCCCAGAGCAAGGGTTAGGTCTAGATGTGTCCAAACCTGGAAAACCAGCAAAAGTGTAAGAACAGCTCCCTCCTTGTTCTGGGCCTGCATGTTCCAGTGCCTAGTGGACCTCTTCCACTCTTGAGGTAGTCAGGTAGCCTGGTAGCCAGATTTCAGGTTAAACTTCCTATTTCCTCATAAGGACATGTGCAGCTAACACCTGGAATTCCTCTTCATGCAAATGAAACATTCCCAGCACCTCAGTCCCAGCCAGTGATGTACACTCACCCTGAAAACCTCTACCCACTCCCCAAGGTTTATATAGCCCTTATCACCCCACCCCACCAGAATAAAAGAGAGCTCTTCTAGTGAAAACTGTCTCAGAGAAGGCTTTTTCTCTGGCACGAACCACTGGATAGATTCTGCTTACCCACCCATCTACCCAGTTAAGCTTCATTTTCCCAGTCCATCCTGGTGTGCAACAGTGACTGTATGTCCCTGAGGGCAGAATCAGAACCAAAGCTGGCAGAAGAGGGCATCAGATCCCTTGGAACTGAGTTACAGATGGTTATGAGTAACCATGTGTGTACTGAGGATTGAATCAGGTCCTCTGGAAGAGGAATCAGTGCTCTTACTCACTGAGTGCCCAGCCCTGGATTTTCACATTTTTAAGGAAAGGCAAAGTCATGAATTTTCTAGCAAGATGAAAACTACATACAGATATCCCAGTATTCTAAACGTAAGGCACTTTACATGGAGTAAAAATACTTGAAGTGCATGTGTCATCTCTACATCACTATAATGAAATACCTAAGATAAGTAGCTCATAAAGAGAAAGGTTTATTGTGGTTGAAGGTTCTGGAGATTCTAGCCAAAGACTGGGCATCCCTTTGCTTTAGGCCTCTGGCAGAAGCAGCCCCTTACAACAGAAGCAAGCGGCAGCACCAAACTGCTTACATAGGCCAGAAAGTAAAGAGGAAGTGATTGGGGTGCCACACATCTTCCCCTTTGAAGGCACCCACAAATAGAGCTAAGGCCCTTCCCTGAAGCCCCACTTCCTAAAGGTCTACATCACAACAGTTGTAGCTTAGGTACCAATCCTTCAACATGTAAACATCAAAAACATAGCAGGACATTGTCTTGACAAATAAAAAAAATTCATCAAAAGTTAAATTCAGCAGCTGTGAAGCTGGATATAGGAAAGTGGTAGCAGCCTTGGTGCTCAAGCCTGTGAACCAAGCTACCTAGGATGCAAGGCACAAGGGTCACAACTTCAAGGCCAGACTTCAAGGCAAAGTAGTGAAACCCTGTTGCAAAACAAACCTTTTAAATGTGCTACAGATGGAGCTCAGTGATGAAGCACTTGTCTAACATGCAAGTTATGTTCAAAGACCGTAAGTCCAATTTCTAGTAGAAAAGGAAAAGTAATTAAATCATATACAAACATGTAAGCCTAAAATCAGAGGCAAGAGGACTGTGAGTTTGAGGCCAGCATGGACTACATGGTGAGAGCTTGTCTCAGAAAAAGGAGGAAGGGAAAAGGATAAGAGAGGAAAAGAAAGAGGGAAAGGGTGAATTGTTAATATAAAATAATCAATCATTGGTAATATAGTGAGAAATATAATACCATGGTTAAATAATACTTAAAGCAGAAAAAGCACATGTCTTTAATGTTAGTTTAGTACATCTAAACTTCCATGTGGTCTCAACACAATCTACAAGGCAGGTAGAAAATGATGGGGAAAGGAGTAATATTTGGGAATAAGGTTGTATAATAAAGATTTACAAGCTGGAAGAAAAAAGAAATTTCTTTCATTGATTGGTGAGGTTGAAATACTTTCTCACAGGTTTAACAGCTGGCAGCATTTTTTTTTCTTTTGTGAACTGCTTATTTGTGAGGATTTCAGTGACTTCTGCATTAGTCACAGAACGTTATATATTTAACCCATCAACTTGTTTTCATCCATATTTGCTATAGATATTTTTCAGCCCAGTGTTAGCTTTTAAAATCTTATATTATCTTAACTACAGAAGGTAAAGGCTTTATGTATGGAAAGCTATCCTCCTAACCTTTCTGTTATAACTTCTTGTGAGATAAGTACAGACTGACATGTAGTTACAAGAAGCACAGAAATCTCAGGTCATTCCAGTTTCTTCCAGGGGTAGCATGAAGAAAAATATAGCATAATATCATAACCAGGATATCCACATTAGCAGGATAGGTGCTAGGGATATGCCAAAACCATTCAATGGAAAAAAGACAGCATCTTCAACAAATGGTGCTGGTCTAACTGGATGTCTACATGTAGAAAAATGCAAATAGATCCATACTTATCACCCTGCACAAAACTAGAGTCCAAGTGGATCAAAGACCTCAATATAAAACCAGACACACTAAACCGCTTAGAAGAAAAAGTGGAGAAGAGCCTTGACCTCATTGGCACAGGAAACAACTTCCTGAACAGAACACCAACAGCATAGGCTTTAATAGCAACAATCAATAAATGGGACCTCCTGAAACTGAAAAAGCTTCTGTAAAGCAAAGGACACTGTCATCAGAACAAAATGACTACATATAGATTGGGAAAGGATCTTCACCAATCCTATATCTGACAGAGGACTAATTTCCAGTATATATAAAGAACTCAAGAAATTAAACAGCAACAAATCAAGTAATCCAATTAAAAAATGGAGTACAGAGCTAAACAGAGAATTCTCAATAGAGGAATATTGAATGGCAGAGAAACACTTAAAGAAATGTTCAACGTCCTTAGTCATAAGGGATATGCAAATCAAAAGGACCCTAAGATTTCACCTTGCACCCATCAGAATGGCTAAGATAAAAAACTCAAGTGTACTGCTCTTTTTTAAACTCCATTTTATTGGAGTTCCTTAAAGCTTCTCCCTTCCACCCACCTTCCACCAACTCTAGGTGGGAGAGAGAAGGTTAGTAGGGAGAGGGAGTGTAGAACCCTTTACTTTTCCCAGCTATTTAGAATCAATGGGTTCTTTTAGGGCTGTATCAATCTCCATCAACAGCAAACTCAGCCAGCAGTCTCCTCTGAGCTGCTGTGCCCTGTTTCTCCACCTCTCCATCTGTCTGAAACATTGTCTCTGGTCTCTCCAAACTGCCACTCGCTACACTCCACCATCGCATGCCACACTTTCTCTTTCTGGGCTCTCATATTTATACCTCAGAGCCCTACACCATACCCCTCTCCGTGCCACATGTGGCAGGCTGGCCATTACCAGCTGTCAAAGACCATGCCCTGCATGAGAGAATTATCAGCTGTGGACAATCTAACACCGAATCTAAAATCCCACACTTGAGATTAAAACAAAAACATTTACATAACATAACTGAGCTTTTAAAAGAAACCAAAACTTCCACTACAACTAATCTGTTATCTAGCTCCACAACCTGGCCACTTAAAGAATATTATACATACAGAATCATATCTTTTTTTAATAAGCTTCTACCCTTTGCTCAGCAAAATTCTCTGCATGTACCAATAATCCATTTGTTCTTATTGCTTAGTGGTATACTATGGAATGCATATACTACCATTTAACCATTCACCTGCTGAAGTACAGACTCTAGTTTACAGGTATTAAATAAAGCTGTTATGAATAGTCATGTACAAGTTCTACATTTATTGGGGATAAATATCAAGGCTGCAACTACTATATTGCACAGTATTTGCATGCTGGGTTTTTAAACAAACTACTGTGTTGTTTCCCAAAGCATCCTATTGTGAATTAATACAAAATGTCCCTTACATGCTATATTTGGTTCCCAGCTGGTAGTTCTATTTTGAGAGGCTATGGAGAAGGTGAAGCCTAGTTGGAGGAACAGAGATTGCTGGGGATGGGTCCCTGTGTGTATATTACCCCTTCTCTGCTTTCTGGTCCTTCCCTGTTATGAAGTGGGGTATTCCACTCCGTCTTCCCTGACATCAGCAAGGCAGGTAATTTGGTCACAGAGACAGAAGAGTAAGAAATACATATGCATTTTATTTTATATTTCACTAGTGATATATGCATTATAGTTTCTTTGTATCCCAATCTGGTGCTCTTAGTCAGTCATTCTGAAAAGTATGGAGAAGCATTTTTTTTTTAAAGACACTATTTGACTATTCAACCCTGTTTCCTGAAATTTGCTATATAGATCAGGCTGGCCCTGAACTCACGGATATCTACCTGCCTCTGCCTCTGCCCAGGTTAATGGTGTGCACTACTACACCTAGCTGTCTTGTTCTAATTTTAATTTGCATTTTCTTTGAGAAAAATTACGTTGAACATGATTTAATGTGCATATTCACAGTCTGTATATCCTCTTTGGTGAAATGTCTGTTTATATCTTCTGCACATCTTCAAACCCTACAATACAAGTGGTGCACAGTAAGTCCCGAGAAGGGAAAGGGGGCCACTGAGCAATTGAGTTAAAAACATAGACATGAAAGGTCAGAGACAGCTGAAAAGTTAGAATTTGCTGAGATCTACAGAACTTCTTAGGTAAGTACTCCAGAGACATGCAGAGGGAACCTCACGTTTGAGCTGAGTACTGACATGGGAAGAAACAAGATGCCACGTAAGAACACCCTAAGCTTACACACAGGTAGGAACAATCTGTGTTCTACTATCCAGAGTAGAAGACTTGTGAGACACGGGGTTCAGATGAAGTGTAGTAAGGCTAAATCATCCCTCAAGTATGCTCTAGAGACATCTAACAATGACAACAAAACACAGGTCTTTGAAAAGATGAAAGTGACTGGCCTCTGTCCAGTTGATCAGGAAAGTGAGAGGAAGAAAAAGTTATTAGTATTAGAACAGAAAAGTACACACACTCCCCTTGTGTCACAGACATTAAGTAGGGAAGATTATGAACAGATTCTTCAACAAAGATACACAGTTTGCAAATAGCACATGAAAAAATGTTTGGCATCATAGTCACTAAGGAAATGCAAATTTGAATTATGATTACAATACCACTGTAAACTCATTAGAATGGTTAGCATTTACAAAGATAGTACATTAGCAAGAACATGGAAAAACTGACCCTCAAAAGCTGTTAGTAGAAACGTACAGCCACTTTAAAGTGTCTAAAACACTTAAACATGCATTCACTATAAACCCTGAAATTCCACCCCAAGCATATACTGAAAGAGAAGCACAATATACCTAAAAAAGCCTTTCATGCAAACTTCACAACAGCTTGGATCCCTTACAGTTCAAAACTAGAAAGAGCCCATGTTAGTCAACTAGTGAGTAGATTAACAATTTATGATATATTTGTATAATACTGCCCAGCAATTTCAGAAAGAACTTTGCTACACTCAATATCGCACATGAATCTCAAAAACATTAAACAACACAGTGCATCTGCAATACAATCCATTAACACAAGAAAAGCCAAAAGCAGCTCTGTTGCTGCCAGAAGTGGAATGGCAGGGCTTTCTAGGGTGATGAAGTTGTCCTATCTGAGGCTATAGTGTAATTACCAGTGCACATTTGCCAAACTTTTCCAAAAACTGATTTTTAAGAAAACTGGTAAAATCTCCCTTCTGGGTGACAGGCAATAAAGAAACAAGGGGCATTTTACCTTCCCAGTCCTCCATGTAAGGTGCTTCCTCGGCTTCCTTTTCTGGAGTAGATGTGTCAATCAACTTGCCTTCTTTCATGACTCTGGTGATTTCACGGAGCTGATGCAGTAATCGTTTCTCTTGGTCGGAAGTCACAGTCTGTGCCCTGCTGAGAAACATCAGACAATACCAGGCAATGGGGAGAAACTTCACCAGGGTCTGTTTGGCTCCTCAAAGCGGAGGTCTAACAGTAGATGATTATTCAAGAACTGATTCTGGAATGTCATGGCTGGAACTAGAGATCTTAGCTTAATGTTGTGATTTTATAAAAGGGAGATCTCATCTCCAGAATACTTCAAGCGACTGCTTGAGGTTCCAAGATGAATTAACATGGAAACAGGATTGCAGTGGTCTCAGTTTCCCACCTCACTGCCTGATTTCCCCATCTCCTGAAATTTCTCCCAAAGTCTTCTATTTATTTTCTTTACTATGAGACACTTTCTGAAGCAAGATTGTCAAAGAAAATACTCTAGGCCATTAGTCTCAACTGGAGAAAAATACTAGACTGGAACCACATGGCTTATTCCTCTTGTACAGAAGTAAGGATAGAGTCTGAAATTTCAGAGGTAGATAATTCACCACATGGAAGCATGTGGATGAGAAAAACTGAGGAACTGAGATCCACAAAAGGAGTTTAAACACAGTGATTGGTAGTTTGCGCCTTTTTTCCTCCTCCTCTTCTTCCCTGCTCCCTTTCCTCTCCTTTCTTTCGGAACTCCTAAGCAAACACTATCAATGAGCCTGCAGTCCACACAATACTTCATTTCTACAGCTTAAAAACCTCATCTGACTACCCTCACAGCTGTGAATCTGGGCAAGTATGTGCAAGAGCAGCACGAGGCTTGAGGAGAACCACACAGCTGAGAGGAAAACACTAAACACTACATCACACAGAAGGCAGTGTCCTGGACAGAAATCAGAAACCATCCAGTGGAGGATTTAAGAGAACTCCCCATTCTCTCCTTAAAGCCCAAAGCATTCAAGTCGGCAGAGACTCAGGCAGAAAGCCATTCACCAGGAATGGAGACTCCCTCAATGCTGCTCAGTGTAGGTCTGCACTGTGTCCTGCTCTGTTCAGCCTAACAAACTTCACCTAACAGAGGTTTCTTCTTCAAACATTGTAACTGAGGAAAAGGAGGGCTTGCCATTTCTGCCATCCTTGCTGGGAGGAAAAGAAAACTAGCTCAGTTATCTGACTTCCTCTAAGAAAACGACCCACATAGTAAGAAAATTTAGGAGCAGAATAGGACAACCTGCCTGTTTCTAAAAAGCTCTGGCCAGTGATTTTTACATTTCACTAACTGTACATGGAGTATTCTGATGACAGAAAATTGGGCCTCTACTTCCTAATTCAGGAAAAGATGGAAGCCCTTAACAGGACAGCCAGGCTTAGAGAAGCATGAACAGAAAAAAAGTCAAACTAAACCATTCTCGTAACTTTGAAAAAGTGTGTCTGTGCTGCCCATTGAACACTGAGGGCAGGATCACTTCTTCAGAGACAATGGACATTTTCATGGGTTTCATACTGTCTCGGCCTTAACACCCCCAGAGGGCAGTCACACACACACGCATGACAGCATGGCCACAGCCTCGCCATTCATAATGCCTATGTGTTCATTTTGCTAGTTCTCATTTCCTCGCCATCTGTTTTCTTCTACCTCTCTGAAATACAGTCTCTACTTTATCATTTACAAAAGCATACAAAATCATCAATGACTGTTTTATTCCTGAGTCCAGGGGTCTTTATCTTCTAGATTTTGTTCTTTTAGATTTTTCTTACTCTAGAACATCCTTCTGGAACTTCCTGCATTAGCCACAGACACATCTGCATTCCCCCCACTTCTCTAACCATTTCTTTCAGTTCTGACCATGGCCCACCTTCTCCACTTACTAAAGCCTGGCCATCATGAAGGCTCCACTTTTGGACTCTATTCTTGCAGTCATGTTCCAGGAAGGCTGCCACAGTATCACAGATTAAGCCATTACCCTAAACAGAAGATGTCCTAACTCTATCTTTAATTTTTACTTTTTTACCTAGATGTCCATGTTGCCCTATTATTTCCTCAACATTTCCACTTGCAACTTTGTCATCACACTAAATTTCAAATTAACATTAAATTCAATCCCTCAAAGCCAAGGCCCACATGGCCAAGGATCATGAGGAGCTACTTGAACAAGCAGAGCTAGATAATAAATAATTTGTGTATGTCAGATTTCAAAATGCTAGAAAAATATAAGGTCACAGGTGAAAAATAATGTCACCTGACTTTTAACCAAAGAAATCATCAAGTGCAAATCCAAGAGCTAACTACAGAAAGAACAAAACAGAAGGGAATATTAAGGCTAACAGCAGAACATGATGGCCTCAAAGATTTGGTGATCTCATCCTTGCCTGTGACCTTGATCTTACCCAGAATTTAATCTGCTCCTGAGGCCCACATTTCTGTTATATAAGTGGATATTCTGATAGCATCTCAACCATATTCAAAGTGCAGCCCATGTTCGCTATCTCAAAATCCTTACCTTCTTTCTCTTCTGTGTTTTATCTTGGAAGAAAATCTTGCTAATTCTAAAGGCAGAAATTAGAACATTTCACCTTGGTTCCTTAACCTGTGTCTTCGAGTTTGATATTGTTTAATATCAAACATAACATGGAGGTCACTGAACATGTTCATATGAAAAAAATTCTACTAGTCACATCAGGAATCATTTCCATGTTTCTATTCAGACACAGACAGGAAGCTATGATTTGAAGATGCCTACTTTTCTTATATGTAACAAGGATGGGAAAACTAGATATCAGTGATCAAAAAAAAGAGGCAGAGAGCACAAGTAGTTGAAAGAGTCCAAACAGAAGAGGCCAAGGACCTTAACTTGATCAGAGATTCCACAGCTTCCCATGAAGGTGTGGAGAGACCATTCAATATCCTGCAAAAGAGTGTTTAGCTCACCGTCAAGTTCTCCCCCTTCGCCTGTTAGAAGGCACAGTTGAGACTGGCTCTGTCTTGGTACACAGCATCACGTTCTGCTTTTCCCCTCCTGGCTGTTTTAGGTCCCTGATTTCTTAGTTGTTTCCATTTCCATAAACTTCCTACACCTACCTTTTCAGATATTCAGCCAGTGTAGCAGAACAGAAGTGTCCCTTCCTGAGGGGTTAATTTGGCCCTTGACACCTACTTTGCACATCTAATCCTACACTAGAACTGAGTCAATACAAAATGCAAATGCCTACTACGGTGACAGCTGCTCTTTTTGAGATTTTTTTGATTTTATGTGTATGAGTGTTTGACTGAATGTGTGTCTATGCAGTACGGTGTCCACAGAGGCAAGAAGAGAGCAATGGATCCCTCCCCTGGAAGTGGAGTTATAGGCAATTGTGAGCTGCCACGAGGGTGCTAGGAACTGAGCCCAGGTCCTCTGAGGAGCAGCAAGTGCTCTTATGCACTGAGTCATTTCTCCAGGCCCTTGCTTATTTTCTTACTTTATCTCCGAAATTAAAACATTCAATTACTAGGTTTTACTTAAAATTTTATATTAGACAATTAGAGAAAGATCATTCTTAAAACTTTATTTGACCCTACAAGATTTACAAATTTCACAAACTCTCACAATAACTTGTACCACATTTATGCTTGAAAACAAGGGTTCTCAATGATATGAAGATGGATGTTTATTGAGAAAGAGTGCATATATTGCACCGAAGCTGACATTTACATAAGATGAAAATATTTAACCTATACATCAAAAGCAAATGTGTAGATACTCTAAACATAAAATCGAGTCCTATTTGATGAAAACTTACCTCTCACCATTAGGTCCCACTCTGTTGATTAATTTTTCCATGGCTTCCTCTGTCTCTTTTAATTTTTCTTGCAGTTGAACAAGCTCAAAATTGGCTGAAAAAAAAACAAGAATCAACCTAAGAACCTAAGAACCCAAGAACCTAAGCCCTTCTAAGAAATGGCTAGCTGAAATGATCTTTGATAATCCAGGCTTGTTCAGAGACTCAAGAGAAAAGACAGGAGTTTCTCTAACTAATATAGTCAGTACAGACAATGTTTAGAGGGCTGGACACCAGGCTCAGCAGGATACGAGTTCATTTCGAGAATGGTAAATAAATCATTCCTTCTTCTAGAGAGTAATCCAACAGAGCCAAGTGAAGAAAACATCCAGTACTGAAAATACCCTGTAAAGTCACCCCAGACTTAAATGTAGAAGGTAGACTAAGTTTGTGATCCACACAGTGCTTCTGGGTGCTGCACTAAGCCTACACAGTACTAGACTAAAGGATCAGGACTCTTAGGTGAGCCCTGTTTCCCTGTACTTAAATTCTGGAAGTATCTAGGAATTAAGAGTGTCAGTGTTACGTTTTTGTAACAGAAAGTCCTAAATTACGTTTGAGACCTCCATGCCAAAGTTTTCTAACCCTAGTTGTTTAGGAAAAAGAATAGACCATGCTGAGTTTAACTGTCCCCTAGATGCAATTTTCTTGGATAGGGTCAGTAGAAAGTGTATACACACACACACACACACACACACACACACACACACACACACACACAGAAAGAGAGAGAGAGAAACACTAAGATATTACGAACACAACAGAAAAAAACAAATACTCAAAACATGAGGAAAATGAAATGCTGCTTAGTATATAAATGACCTAGATTTGTATTTCATACCTCTCTGTGTAGGCCTGGATGTCTTGGAACTCCATAGAGCAGGCTGGCCTTGAACACAGAGATTCGACTATCTCTGCCTCCTGAGTGCTGGGATTAAAAGTGTATGCCACCACTGCCTGGGTCTAAAAGGTCTTTTAATGCAGTTAGTACCTGTGAAGTGGGTATCAACTACACTGTGTGGTACTGAGGTTATTGTTATTTTTGCATGATTTATAATTAAAGAATAAAACTGACACTTCTATTGCCATTGCTTTATAAAAAGAATTCTTAGGAGTCCATTCCACCATTTGATTTATTTCTGTTTTGATTTACCTGTTAAGATAGTTCTTAACAGTCTTTGTTTTCTACTTTATTATCAAGAGTATATTTTTGTTTGGTTTGTTTATTTTTGTGGTGTGATTGTGTGTGTGTGTGTGTGTGTGTGTGTGTGTGTGTGTGTGTGTATGTGAAGACAACTTTCAGGAGTTGCTTCTTGACTTCCACTCTGTTGAGGCAGGGTACTTGTTGTTTCTGCTGCACTTCATATTCTATGCTAGCTGCTCTGTAAGCTTCTAGATGATTCTCCTGTCTCTGCCTCCCATCTCATCAAAACAATTGGGAATTACAGAAGCAAACTACAACATCTTCCTTTTTACATGAGTTCCTGGGATCAGACTCAGAGAGCACTGTCACCCACCGAGTCCTCTCATCAGTTCAAGACTCCCTACCATCCAGAGTTTTAATTACTGATGTGTGTACCATTACTATCTCATGAAGACACATAGCATCTTTCCTCAGAGATCCCTTGACAATTTAGAATTTCCAGAAAGGATGTGGAATATGACTGAGGCTTTAATGCAACAAAGAACCCAAAAGTAATTCCAAAAGGAGATACAGACTAGGCAGATGCTTCTGTGGCTCATCCTCACTTCATTCTACTGATGCCTTTCTCTTAAAAAAATTTTGATATGAAAATGTTTTTTTCATATCAAAAATGAAATTAAATTAAAAATTTAATTTAAAATTAAAAATGTTTTTAATTTAAAAAAATTAAAAGCAAACAAAACCTTTGATGGGTGAGGTGGTAGAGAACTTTAATCTCAGCACTCAGGAGGCAGAGGAAGAGGCAGGCAGACCTCTGCGAGTTTGTACTACACAGTGGGACCCTGACAAGATTTTTTTTTCACAGCTGCGGGCCATGAATACCATCCAGACTGCTACAAGCTCAAGAGTTCGTAAGTGTTCCTCAAGCCATCCAGACATGATTCCCATAATGCTTTTGACGGTCCCTTCTTCCTAGATAGTGCCTTCTCACAAGTTATTTTTCCCTCTGTGTGAAGTTTACGTGCGTGTGCCCAGGCAGGTTAGTGTGCAGGTGTGTACAAGATGACACACAGTGTCTCTTCTATCATTTTCTCCCTTATTCCCTTGAAACAGGGCCTCACAGTAAACAAGAAGTTTACCGTGTTGGCGAGGCTGACGAGTCAGGGAATCTAAGGGTCTGCCAATGTCTGCTCCCCAGTGTTGGAGTTATGGACATGTACAGCCCTCCCTGGCTTTACCCATGAATGCTAAAGATTCTAACTCAAGTCTCATGCTTGCTTAGCAAGTGCATTACCCCACAGATTATTTTTCTTGGCATCATTCTAATCTATAAATTCTTAGAGAAAAGGACTGTGCTATATACATTTATTTCCCCTGACAGCACAGAATATTCTGCTTGGGTACCATTTCACAGCACATTTCAAGATTCTAAAGTAATGCATTTCCTCTTTGGTTTTCCTCCAAGAAATAAACACATTTGCTACAAATATTTTGAAGTCTGTGAGTGAAAAGTAACTAAGCCAAATGATGACCGTTACTTTGTTACTATGTACCAAAGTATTCTACGTGCTTTTTGCAGTATTAGCCCTTTAAGACCCAATATCCACACACAACTCTTAAGAAATGCTTTTGGGACATACCGCAGGCTCTCCCCCTGGTTGTACTCCATTTCAACTCAGTACCACTGAATACAAGGGAAGGCACACTTACTAATCTTCCTGTGGCTGTTTCCGGGTGGGGCAGCGGAGCAGTTCCGATCCTCTGCAGTTTTCCCCTTTGAGAGCTGAGGATGAAGGAGGTACAGCACATCAACAGCAGCTCAGAACCTCAAAGTCACGGAACACCTCATGTTAAATGGAAAAAAAAAAAAAAAAAAAAAAAAAGCTGGGAGACAAAAATTAAGTCAGAAATCAAACCAAGTATGAACATCGGAAAAAATGTCTTTTTAGAAGCCACTGAAAGAGTCAAGAAGGTAAAAATGATGGAAGCAAAAATCAAAGCTCCTCAGAGTAGCTTTATGGTCTATCGGCTTGCAAAGATGCCTAGTCTTTTGTTGTTTTTCTTTGAATTATGGTGCTAATTGGATTATGAACTAGAAGATCCAAGTTCAAACCTTGGCCTTACATTTTAGTTGTAAATCTATGCTAAGATTTCTCACTGTAAAACTGAGAGGATAGTGATCCTAACTAGTTCACGAAGAGATGATAAGGCTTTTGAAGAGATGATGTATTTGAAAGGGCTGTGTGACCTTTCCTGGGATTTATCAGAGGCAATGATTTTTATTACAATGACATTAGATTTTCATTGACATATGTATAAGACAATTCCACTTACCTTAAACAGAATGTACAGTATGTACAAAAAAATCCCAAAGCCATAGATTGGAATGATCTGTCCCATCAATCCTCTTCCACTACCCCCTCCTCCAGTACCTCCACCTGCTCCTTTAGCCTTTGCAAAGGCCTCTGCAAGGTGAGACCTCTGGAAACGAGCCCCTGGCATCTGACCATCTGAGGGTGCTGAGTGGTGATGCATCATTGGTGGAAATCGGCCCAATTTTCCTGAGAAAATTAATTAATCAGCTTTATCTCTTCTATTTTAATTACATGGATAATGCATTCAAACATTTGCATTGAAGTTCAAATAAAGAATCAACTCAAACATGTTTAAGAAAAAAAAAACAGGGACTTGATTAGAGAGATGGATACATCATATGGATACAAAGCATGTTGCAGTACTCTTGTTTACTAAACCCATTTTCTTCTTTCCTCTGGGTCCACAGCTAAACTATGTTTCTCAGCCTCCTGTAGAGTTAAAGGTAGCCATGTGACAGAGCTTCAGCCAAAGGAACTTGGCCTATAAAACTTTGCACAGCCTCAACTTCATGATCTTTTTTTCCTTCTGTAGGATGAATACTAATGCTGCAAACAGTAGAGCCTTGGTTCCTAAGTAACTGTGGCACAGGCCTCTGAGAGACCAAAAGATTAAAAATCAGCTATTAATATTTAAGGCCTGAACTAGCTGGGTGGAGAAGTCCAGTAATGCCCTGAGGGGAAGGACCGCCTTACTGCATTCTTTCCCCACCCACTAGAGATACAGTTGCTAGGAAACTGGCCCATCCCCCCCTAGGGAGGGACACCAGTTCATTAATGATCTGGGGACCTTCCTATAGCAAATCAATTCAAAATGTAGCATTTTGACCAATAGATGCTTGCCTTGGGCATGCTGGGAGGGACCAGAATCTTTAAATCACCCAACTAACCTGAGCAAAGGGCTCTCGGCTCCCACCACTTCGGTGGTGGGGGGTGTGGGCCCAAGCTGCAGTTTGTAATGATTTATAATAAAAAGAACCTCATGTATTTACAGCGGAGTCTAGTTATTCCTGGTCTTTTTGGGGTTCATGAACTGGGCAAAACAACCTCCACTGCTGCTACCCTGCTAAATCAGAGACATCTGGTCCTATTTGTGTAAGTGAGAAACAAGCTTCTATAGTGTGAAGGCCATTACATACTTTGGAATCTATCTGTTACAGTGGTTACCCACCCCTATCTAATACAAAAGGAAATGTAATGTAGCCTCAGGAGAGAACACAACCAGAAACTGGAAAGCTATTAGGATTCAGGCCAGCTACTTTCACATTCTGGCTCAAACTCTCTCCTCTCTATGGGACCATAGCCTTTTCCCTTTGTTTCTTTGTTCACATCTTCAATGTCTTTCTTCAGATAACTCCTCTAATTTCTTTGTGCCCATAGCAGAAGACAGTCATTCCAAACATCTCAATTTGCAACTCCTTTGAGAAACTAGCTAAGACCAGCCCTGATTTCAAATTCCTTGGAGGAAGACTGAGTACACAGCTGGGGAAGGAGGCAAGCATCCCCTTTGAATCAGTTACAGCTGAGCTGACAGTATTCGTACAATAGAAACAGAGTCAAAAGCTCAACCTGGCAAGAACTTAGAGGAGATAAAAGTGTTCTTGAAAAAACAGTTGGAGTAACAACATTATTCTCTCTCTCTCTCTCTCTCTCTCTGATTTACTTGTGTAATCTTCCTGAATATATGCTTATATGCCAGAAGAAGGCATCATATCCCATTATAGATGGATGTGATTGCTGGAAAATGAAATCAGGACCTCTGAAAGAGCAGCCAGTGTTCTTAACTACTGAGCCATCTCTCCAGCGGGGATAAGACACAAAAATACAGAGCACCAGAAAACAGAAAGACCTTAAGAAATTGGCTGGATTTGACTTCAACAAAATTAAGGATTTCCATCCAGTACAGAAGACCAAGAACGGCAGAGGCGGGGCAAGATGGCGGCGCCGGGAGGACTCTCATTCTGAGGAGCAGCACAGCAGGATTGGCACAGTGACCAGCAATCAGAACTCGCGGCCATAAAACACAAGTGATTGTGTTTCACAGGTGAGAGGATACCCCACGGTGGGGGATTCAATCAGCTTTAACTCACCCGGCTAAACCACGGAAGAGATCCCGGTTCCGCCAGGCACTTGGTCGCCAGCCCATAGCTACACGCCAGCGCGATCTGGTCACGGTCCCAGACTTAACTGTGGGCCCACAACACCATAGACTGGATTTCCAGGTCAAGAGATTACCCCACAGAGCAGGAAACAATTTGGACCGACCTCAGGTTACCCAGACATCCCCTGGAAAAGACTCGGGTTCCGCGGGTGCCCCAAGAGCCAGCCTGGACCCAGAGCCGGGACACAGCGCCTGCACGGAGTCCTGCCTGCACGCCTGATTCGCCGCCTCAGATAGAACTGTGGGCACCAGGGCACCAGGGCACCAGACTGCGTGTCTCTGGCAGGAGGAAACCCCCAGCGGAGGGGGTCAGCAGCTCTAACGCTTAGGACACCCAGCACCAAAACACTTCCTGGACTCACACAGACTCTAGTGCAGGCAGGAGCGCTGTGCTCTGCCGCCATTATTGAGTTCCCCTAGGGCACTGGGACACACAGCTGCATCCTCAGACCTACAAAAGCCAGAGAACCATTACAGCAGCCCTCAGATACTGTGCCAAGGATCAACCAGTTATCCCTAGCTAGACTGTCAAAACTGTGGGAATCCCTGGTCCTTCAAGAGGGCTGCACCCACAGCGTCTGGACCAGAGCAGTGCCTGCAGCCGCCATCCCAGACAGAGACACACAGCTTCTGGTCCAGAATGAGACACCCAGCCTCCAGACCAGAGCAGTGCCCCCAGGCGCCAACTCAACCTAGGTGCACATTCTCCAGGTCCAGAGCGGAGCAATCAGCCTCTGGCCCAGAGACTTCCTGAGTGCACCTCTCACTTTCCCAGACAGAACTGTGCACCCCAGGATAAGAGACTGAGTTTCCCTGTTGGGAGAAAACCCCACAGCTAGGGAATCAGCAGGTTCTTCAAGAGGACTGTACATGGAAATTTAGTGAGCAGCAGCACACTAAATTTATAACAAGAAACCCAGCAGTGGGGCAGCTGTCTTGAGAAATTCTATGGGTAAGAGGAGATCCCCCCCTGCCTAACATAGACCACAGCTACTACTCAGGGCTATAAACCTGAGGTGAGCAGTGGCAACTCCGGAGAAACACTGGCCATACAGTGACCATAACCAAAAAGCAGAGAAGGACTCCTTCAGGAAAAATCATCTTCCGGCCAACGGGATACTCCCTACCTCAGGACTCCAGGAAGCACAGAAACTAACAGCCAAAACCTAAATCAGCCCAATGGGTAGAGGTCAGCGTAAAAGCTCAACCAACAAAAGACAGAGCAATATGGCATCTCCAGAACCCAGCTGTCCAGGGGCGAACAGCCCTGAACAATGCAGCATAATAGAAAATCAAGAAGATGACCTTACATCTATGTTGATGAAGAGGATAATAGAGGAGACAAATAAAATACGTAAAGAATTAGAGGAAGATAAAATCAAACAGATCATGGCTATCCGTAAAGAAATGGAGGAAGATAAAGACAAGCAGATTAGGGCCATCCGTGAAGAAATACAGGAAGATGCAGCCAAACAGCTTGTGGCCTTCAGAGAAGAAATAAATAAATCACTGAAAGAAATAAAAGAGACAGAGTTGAAGGAACTAAAAGAAAAAGAGGAAAATACAAGCAGACAGGTGAAGAAAGTAAACAAAACAACTCAAGACCTGAAGATAGAACTAGAAAAATTAAAGAAAACACAAATGGAGGAAATAATGGAGAGGAAGAATTTAGGGAAGAAAACAGGAACTACAGAGGTAAGCATAACCAACAGAATACAAGAAATGGAAGAAAGAATCTCAGGTGTAGAAGATACAATGGAAGAAATCGATGTATCTGTCAAAGAAAATGTTAAATCCAAAAAATTCCTGACACAGACCGTCCAAGAAATCCAAGACACTATGAAAAGACAAAACCTAAGAATAATAGGAATAGAGGAAAAAGAAGACTCCCTTCTCCAAGGCCCAGAAAATATTTTCAACAAAATCACTGAAGAAAATTTCCCCAAGTTAAAGGAGAAGCCAATAAGGATACATGAGGCCTACAAAACACCCAACAAATTTGACCAGAAAAGAAAATCCTCCCGACACATAATAATCAAAACAGTAAGTATACAGAACAAAGAAAAAAATACTAAAAGCTGCAAGGGAAAAAGGCCAAGTAACATATAATGGCAAACCCATTAGAATCACACCTGACTTTTCAACAGAAACTATGAAAGCCAGAAGGGCCTGGACAGATATCATGCAGACCCTAAGAGAACACAGATGTCAACCCAGGCTACTATACCCTGCAAAACTCTCAGTCCTTATAGACGGAGAAAACAAGATATTCAATGACAAAAACAAATTTCAAAAATACCTACACACAAATCCAGCATTACAGAAGACACTGGAAGGGAAAATACAACCCAAGAAAATTAGCTTCTGTCAAGAAAACACAGGAAATAATTAATCTTACTACAGCAAAACAAAAAGCAACCAAGCACACAACCTTATGAACACAGCCAACAACAAAATCAAAGGATCTAACAGCCACTGATCATTAATCTCTCTCAACATCAATGGACTCAATTCTCCAGTAAAAAGACAAAGATTAACAGAATGGATACGTAAACAAAACCCAGCAATCTGTTGCATACAAGAAACACACCTAAGGCACAAAGATAGACATTACCTGAGGGTAAAAGGTTGGAAGACGACTTTCCAAGCAAATGGACCCAAGAAACAAGCAGGAGTAGCCATTCTAATATCTGATAAAATAGACTTTCAACCAAAATTAATAAAAAGAGATGAGGAAGGACACTTCATACTCATCAAGGGAAAATTCCACCAGGAAGACATCACAATCCTGAACATCTATGCCCCAAATACAAGAGCACCCACATTTGTAAAAGAAACATTGATAAAATTTAAACCACATATAGATCCCCACACATTAATAGTGGGAGACTTCAACACCCCACTCTCAACAAAGGACAGGTCAACAAAACAGAAATTAAACAAAGAAACAATATCTCTGACAGAGGTCATGAATCAAATGGACCTCACCGACATCTACAGAACTTTACACCCAAACACAAAAGAATTT